CCAGCCCTGCACCTTGTTGTCTAGAATGAAAATGGTTCTGTGGACAGGAAACATGTATAAAAAGTTTGCTACAGCTTTTTAAGAATATAATGAGCTAACTTGGTAAAGGGGTACCTAGTAGTATTTGGATTTCCAAAAGGCATTCGATAGCATGCTACATAGAAAGTTACAGCATGAGGTAGAGGCTCACAATATAGAAGTAATGATTTAGCATGGATTGGAGATTGGTTACACACAGAACAGAGAGAATCAAGATTAATTACTCTCTTTCAGATTGGAAACACACAACCAGTCAAGTGTCACAAGGATCAGTCCTAGTGCATAGATTATTTATGAGTGACTCAGTGGTTAGCACTGCTGCTTCACAGCACCAGGCACCTGGGTTCAATTCCAGCCCTGGGAAACTGTCTGCGTGGAGTTTGAATTTTTTCCCCGTGTCTGTGTGGGTTTCCCCCAAGTGCTCTGATTTCCTCCCACAGTCCAAAGATGTGTAGATTGGCTATGCTAAAAATGAATTGCCCCAGACTGTCCAGGAATGTGCAGCTTAGGTGGGTTAGCCATGGTAAAAATCACGTGCAGGGTTACAGGGATGGTGTGGGCAGTGAATCCAAGTGTGATGCTCTTCAGACGGTCAGATTTGACAGGCTGAATGGCCTCTTTCTGCACTGTAGAGATTCTATGGTATTATCCACATGACTTGGAGGAGGGGACAGAGTGTTATGTATCCAAATTTGCTGATAATACAAAAATAAGTGGGAGAGAATCTCATGATGAGGGCATGAGGGGCTATAAGCTGAGTCAGTGGGCAAAAACTTGATAGATGGCGTTTAATATCGGAAAGTGTGAGGATGTGCACTTTGGTAGGAAAAATCTAAAGACAGACTATTAATTAAATTGAGAGAGGCTCCAAAGAGGTCCACCACAGAGGCATATGGATGATCTAAAGCATGAAACACAAAAAAGTATGCAGGTACAGCAAATAATCGAGAAGGGAAATGCAATCACATTGAAACATATGGGATTTTTAAGCAGCTTGATGGGGTAAATGCTGAGAGGATGTTTCTCCTCTTGGGAACGTCTAGGATCAGAGGCATAGTCTCAGAATAAAGGTGTGCCAATTTAAGACTAAGATGAGGAGAAGTTTCTTCTCAGAGGGTTATGAGCCTTTGCAACTCCTTGCCACATAGATCTGTGGTAGCACAGTACTTGTGTATATTTTGTGTAAGGCTGAGATTGATAGATTATTGATCACTAGGAATTCATGGGTTAAGGGAAACACAGGAAAATGGACATGAGGAACATCATTGGATCAGCCATGATGCTATTGAATGGTGGAGCAGGCTTGAGGAGTTGAATGGCATGCTCCTGTTCCTCTTTCTTATGATCTAATTTTGCACTTTAGTGCTAAGGGTTTGGATTTTTAAATCAGGGAACTCTTGATACAACTATTCAGGATGTTTGCGAGGCTGTGCCTGGAGTATAGTTTTAGTTCCTATATTTTAAAAAAAGAATGTACTTGTGTTGGAGGCAATTCACAAGTGATTCATTAGGCTGTTTCCTTGAATGAAGGAGCTAATTTATCAAGAACAGCTAAAGAGGTTAGTCTTTTATTTGCTATAGCTTTGAACAATGAGGGGTGATTTTACTGAAACGTACAAGATTCTGAGGAGCTTAACAAGGTAAATGTTGAGAAGGTATTTCCCTTTTGGGGGAATCTTGAACTGGAGGACGAAGCTATGGAATAAGGAGATATACTTAAAACTGAGAAGCAAAGGAATTTCTCCTCCTTGAGGGTAGTGAATATTTGAATTCTCTATCCCAGAAATTTGTGGAGGCTGGATCTCTGAAAGTACTTAAAGAGGAAGTAGATCAACGTTTGAAGTATTGGGGAGTTGAGTGCTTTGATGAGCTGGCATTACGGACGTGTTGTGGCTAGGGGCAGAGCAGTCATGATCTTACAGAATGGAGGGGCAGGTTTGAGGGACCAAATGGTCTAGTTCTTCTCCTGTTTTTTACGTTCTTATATTTTGATGTTCTTAAATGCCTTGTTCATTTTGGCCATACAGAGGTGAACTTGGTGTATCACAACAAGTCATTTTCAAGGGCAAATAAGTCCCAACACCAAGAGCATTACGCCATGATATCATGCCAATGTTACACTAGGGACAGGTGGGTATTGAACACACAAGCCAGTGAACATTTGAATCTGTGTACAGACTAGGGATGAAACAGATATTCAATAATGCTCGTGAGGCATGCCAATTATATCAACTGCAGCAGCGCAGTGAACCTCCACACGATATTCCATTCACTCTTTGGACGCAAGTAGGAACAGATCAATTCCCAGGGCACAGGGAAGATTATATCCGTGTGATGGATTATTTCTGTAAATTTCTCATTGTTCAGCAATTTAGTAACACAGTGAGTGTGATCGTTGCTGATACAATGAGCACTACTTTCATTCTATTCGATGTACCAGATCAGATAGTGAATGATAATGGACTGCACTATAATTGCAAACTATTTAAAGACATTTACTGAGTGGAGTGTGACTCATATCACTTCAGCCAATTATCTGTGCTTAAATGGTCTAGCAGAACATATGATACGCACTATCAAATCAACAACAATTGAGTGTCAAGCAACAAAGCAAGATATTTATGCTGTATTGCTGCATTTTTGTGCAACACAAATGGAAAAGGAATACCATCCCAGCACAACTGATGCTCAGAAGGCAAGGATCTTGTCCAGTGACCAATGGTCTAACTATTCTGAGACCCTGGTAATTTTTTCTCACAGACAGAGGAAAATGGAAGAGATTCACGATGGGCAAGCAGGTGTAGGATGACTGAAACTGCTCATTTTGCAGAGAATGCCATTAGAAATATAAATACAAATACTTGGATACCAGTAAATGCAATCGTACGAAGTCTGTGATCGCATCATGATACCAATGTAATAGAAGCCAGCTTGGACCAATGTCAGGGTCACTAATGATTCACCAAGACAATGAATGAAAAAAAACTCTGAAGATGATGATTATGTGGTGATCTTGAGTGGTAGTATCAACAGTTAGACAATTATGCTGCCAAAAATTGAAATAGAGAACAACGTGCATCTCTTCAGAGGGATATGACCACTAGATTAGGGTTAGTTGTCAAACGGCAGAAGAATTATATTGAGATTTGAAATGTTAGACTTCTGAACCCAGTTTCCCAGTACATATAATTATCGAATTGGCACGTACCTAAGCACAACCATGTACAGCAAAATCCTCAGTGTCCAACACGCATGGGGAATGGGAAATGCCAATTTCACAACTGTGCTGGTTGTGGCCAGGACTGCTCATAAATACAATCAATGAGGTTTGTTTTATAAAAGGAGAGAGAGAGTGTAGTTACTAAGTAATCAGTTCCCAGAGTAAGGAAACCTGCTTCCATCGATTAGCATTGCATGAGAATACAAGACAATAGGGTAACAGATAATGGGAAGTTTACTGTGTATCTGTTAAGGATAACTTTATATCTTTGGAAAAGGAGACAAATTATAATATAACTTCATATATTAAAAAATACAAAATCACATTTATTTGTCTCCTTAGAGAGCAGATTCTTCATCAAAACATGCCTTTTTAGATGATTTCCATTCGTGTACAAATTTGGAGGAAGTTTCTATACCAACAGATCATGATGTGCAAAGACCAGTTTCTCATCATGCTTATTTCAATGATCCCAAAACTGATGTGCTGGATCCAGTTGCAAACAATAAAGGTATTTTATGCGTTATGGAGTTTGACAAAGATATTTCGAATGTTGTATGTTTTAGATTGAGTAAATGGAGAAGTGAACATTACTAATGAATAAAGGGTCAATCATCATAGGGCTCAGATTTAAAATTACTAGCAATGAAGGTAGAGGGTGGCACAAGGAAAAATGTTTTTATATTGATGAGTGGTTACAATTTGTAGTATACTGCCTCCTAGATAAACAACAATTCAATAGTAGCATTCAAAATTGAATAAATACTTGGAGGAGAAAATTGCAAACAAGTGTGGAAATAAAAGGGGAGTGGAGCTAACTGGAATGCTCTTCAAAAGAGCCAATGAGTACTTCACTTCCCTCTGTGCTATACTGTTCTAAGATTTCCTGTGAAGAATAGAAGTTTTTTTTTGTATTAATACATTCACATCTGATTCAGAAACAGACAGCAAAAACTTTGTCAGTCCCATGTTTCTGGGCATATGGGTAGTGCTTCATGGCTGCTGGTTTTATTGAAGAAGGTCAACTAAGCATAGAACATAGAAACCCTACAGTGTGGAAGCACAACATTCAGCCTATCAGGTCCACACTGACCCTCTGAAGAGCATCCCACCCAGACCCAGTCCCATAACCGTGCATTTCCAACGGCTAATCCACCTAGCCTGCACATCCCTGGAAAATTTAGCATGGCCAATCCACCTAAACTGCACATCTTTGTACATGGGAGGAAACCGGAATACCTGGAGGAAATCCACACAGACACAGGGAGAATGTGCAAACTCCACACAGTCATCCGAAGCTGGAATCAAACCAGGTCCTTGGTGCTGTGAAGCAGCAGTGCTAACTACTGAGCCACCGTGCCACCTCAAGCAAAGCCTCTGTGCACAGGGGAAGCTGACCAACTAAGAGACATGACTTAACCAGCACTCTGATCATGAAGATAGGCTTAAAGGGAAACCGCACTGAATAATATTGCTGAAATTTTAAGATGGAAACTAGAACACCAGGGCATAGAGAGAATCCCAGATGCGGGATGTGGTGCTGGATGTGTTTGCAATGGAGGTAGACAGGACAGGAAGTGGTATGATCTTGTAGGGGGCAAGCAGCTTATGGGCACCATCTTCAGAAAGGAGTGGATCCAGATGGCTTACGAGCTCAGCACCCAGAGACTGGATCTTAGGATCTGATGAGTACAGCGAGAAGTATAATTATCTCACATGGGGTATCAGTGAATGCATCTTCATATGACAGCTCTTATACACCACAGAACCAGCTATTCATGCTGCTCAATTTTTCACACGTCCACCTCTCACCCGGTAGCATTTCCCTGTGCTTCAGACTCACAGCTAACATCCATCTCCTTCATCTCGCCCTCACATCAGGTGCAGTATATGAATACTTGGCAAGCCCTAATTGTTAATGGCTAGTCGTGGGACTATGGTGTATTGTGCAGCTGATGATACAGTACATAGGGGATGTCATTTAAAGATGCATTCACCTTTTAAGATGAAGAGCCCTCTCTCTGGATATTGCTCCATTAAAGTACTCTTCATTCCAAGAAAGCTCTCCCTTGATAGTTTCAGCAATTCTTGTAGCCTGAGTGCATCTTCTCTTTAAGAAGGCCAAGCTATTGTTAGAAAGTGTAGACCGGCCATGCATTGTACTAACAATGTATGCACATAGGTCCTTGCTAAATGTGCAGCAAGAATGACTGAAATTTTCAAGCCTGTTACAGAATTCCTTGGTGTAAAGTCCCTAAATGATATAAAATAAAGGTGGCAAATTGAGTTGAGGCAGTGATCAGTGAACAGGGGCATGGACTACTTCTGTTCCTCTCTAATCCGATGTTCACTAGGTCACCCCTCTATCTGAGTGGTGATCACCTTCTCAGGTGTGTCTTCCAATAGGCTTTCTCTTCTAAATATGTTCTGAACTGTAGTGGTTAGTCAGATTTTAATTGGAAGATCAATTAGTATTGCTGAGCTCAAGGAATACAACTCTGTCACCCTGTGTGTGTTTAGATGTTCTGGAGAGACAGAGTAGCCATATCGTAAATATGTGTCACATGCCCGGCACCTGATCCCAAGCTTTCCATTTTTATTTAAGGCTTCATTAGTTCTTATTTTAGGATAATATATTTTCAGTTCAGATTTGTCTCCCAATCTCTGCTCATTAAAAGTTTAAGCTGTTATGTTTTACTCAGTACTTTACAAGTAAAAGGACATTATTGAAAATTTCCTCTCAAAAGTATATAATTTTGTCCAAAAGCATGTCATAGCTTTGAAATATTAATAGCCCACAATGTAGCAAGAGAGAATTTATTAAAGTGAACAGAAAGACATGATCTAGGGGTTATGGTGGGACTGGTACGCAGTGATTGAGAAGCTGATCCTATTTTATCAATGTAGTCTGACGATTAAACTTTTGTTGCATTATGAACTGGATTTTGCAACAAACTAGAACATAGAACATAGAACAGTACATTACAGTACAGGCCCTTCGGCCCACGATGTTGTGCCGACCTATTATCCTACTCTAGGATGAAACTACCCTGCATACCCTACCCTATTAGATAATTGAAGTTTAGATAACAGCCAAGTGATCAATCTTTTGCTAATGTTCAGCAGCTTGGAAAAATATTCAAGAGAAGATTCAACAACTGGAGGTGGAGCGAAGGCAAGCTGAGCAGCACATGAAACATCTGTGCAATGAATATGTCCAATACATAAAAATTTCAGGGCAAGAAAACAGTAAGGAAGACATCGTCAACATCGATACTGAAGATATTAATGGTGAGTACACTTGAGTCTACATTGTTGAACATGTTTTGTCCTTTAATAAAATTAGTTTAAGCATAAAAGCAGTAAGAATGCATTTTGAAGTGGAATAAGATATGTTTATCTAATGTTCTGACTTATGTGGAGGACTTTTAAATATGTTTACTTGCAGGAACAGGGTTCTGAAGGAGTTACAGCCATATATAAATGGGAAGGAATAATCTAAAGATCCTGCTCAGCTAAGGCTCCAGCCATGCCATTTCCCCAAGTGTTGTGCTTCACTAATCCTATGATGTCCAAATTGTTTGGTTGCCATTTGGCTTTTTCTGGGCTTCTTTTTAATTCACTTGTGGGATGTGGTCATCGCTGGCTGGCCATGTTCCTTTTCTTGTTTTGTCTCGTACGAGAAGAGGAAGAGAGTTACTGAATAGCTGTAGACAAGCAATGTGTACACGTGTGGAACTTATGAAATTAATACAAATGTTAAGTGAGATGAAAGAGTTTTCAAGCAGGGTAGAGAGTTGTTTAATTGAAGAAGAATGGTTGGTGTGACAAGAAAGGCCAAAGTTGAGAAAAATGACACACAAGTTATCCTTGTTCTGTATTATTATTACGTGAGAACAAAATTTAAGTACCTGATATGAGCATAAAAATTAATAAGGATTTTTGTATCTGGCATGAGGTGATATATTGTCTCCTAGAGATTGGTCGAGAAGGAAACAGATATGGGGATAAAACATGTTCAAAGTGCAGGAGAATGAGGGTGGAGGTAGGGAAACATTGCCTGTGTTATGCAGAGAGGTAGGCATGTCTGAATTTTGGAACTGAAACATGGAGAACATAGACAGCATAAAAGCAAAAGAGAAAACATATAATGCAGCAAAGGGCAGTGGGAAGCCAGGGGATTGGGAAGCGTACAAAGACCAAAAGAGGACAACTAAAAAAGAAATAAGGAGGGAGAAGATTAAATATGAGGGTAAGCTAGCCAGTAATATAAAAGAAGATTGCAAGAGTTTCTTTAGATATACAAAAGGGAAGAGAGAGGTGAAAGTGGACATTGGGCAACTGGAAAATGATGCTAGAGAAGTAGTAAAGGGGAACAAAAAAATGGCGGAGGAACTGAATAAGTACTTTACATCAGTCTTCACGGTGGAAAACACGAGTAATATTCAAGGGGGTGGGGTAGAGGTCAGTATGGTGGCTATCACCAAGGAGAAGGTGCAAGAAACACTGAAAGGTCTGAAGGTAGATAAATCACCTGGACCAGATGGACCGTACCCCAGAATTTTGAAGGAGATAGCTGAAGGGATAATGGAGGCATTAGTGGTGATCTTTCAGGAATCACTAGAGTCAGGGAGGGTCCCAGAGGACTGGAAAATCACTAATGTAAACCCCCTGTTTAAGAAGGGAGTGAGGCAAAAGGTGGGAAATTACAGGCCGATTAGCCTAACCTTGGTCGTGGTAAGATTTTGGAGTCCATTGTGAAGGATGAGATTTCTGAATGCTTGGAAGTGCATAGTAAAATAGGGCAAAGTCAGCATGGTTTCATCAAGGGGAGGTCATGTCTGACAAATCTGTTAGAGTTCTTTGAGGAAGTAACGAGCAGGTTAGACTAAGGAGGGCCAATGGATGTTATACATTAATGATCTAGATGAAGGAACTGAAGGCATTCTTGCTAATTCTTGCAGATGATACAGAGATAAGTGGAGGAATGGGTTGTATTGAGGAAGCGGGGATGCTGCAGAAGGATTTAGACAGGTTAGAAAAGTGGGCAAAGAAGTGGCAGATTGAATACAACGAAGGAATGTATGAGGTCATGCACTTTGGTGGGAAGACCAGAGGCATAGTCTATTTTCTAAATGAGGAGAAAATTTAGAAATCTAAATTTAAACTTGGGAGTCCTAGTCCAGATTCTCTTAAAGTTAACTTGCAGTTGAGTCAGTAGCTGAGAAGGCAAACGCAATATTGGCATTTATTTTGAGAGGACAAGAATATGAAAGCAGGGATGTACATCTGAGGATTTATAAGGCTCTGTTCAGACCACATTTAGAATATTTTGTGCAATTTTCGGCCCAATGTCTCAGGAAGGATGTATTGACTCTGGAGCAGGTCCAGAGGAGAATGATTCCAGTAATGAAAGACTTAACATATGAGGAACATTTGAGGACTCTGGGTTTAAACTTGATAGAGTTTAGAAGGATGAGGGGGGGGATCTAATTGAAACTTACAGAACACAAAGGCCTGGATAGAGCGGACATTGGGAAGATGTTTACATTAGCAAGAGAGACTAAGACCGGAGGGCACAGCATTAGAGTAAAGGGAAGACCCTTTAGAATGGAGATGAGGAGAAACTTCTTTGGCCAGAGTGGTGAATCTATGGAATTCACTGCCACAGAACCCTGTGGAGCCCAGATCATTGAGTATAATTAAGACAGAGATAGATAGGTTCTTGATTGTTAAGGGGATCAAAGGTTAGGGGGAGAAGGTGGTAGAATGGGGTTGAGAAACTTATCAGCCATATTGAATGGCAGGGTAGACTTGATGGGCCAAATGGCCTAATTTCTGCTCCTATGTCTTATAGTCCTACAGTCTTATATTTACTTTAGTAAGATTTTTCATCTTCAAATAATATTAGCCTAGATTTTTTTTTTTCACTTATTCATGGGATGTGCGCATTGCTGGTAAGACCAGCAATTAGACTCTCAGAGTCTTACAGCATGGAAACAGACTCTTCGGATGAAGTAGTCCACGTTGACTGTGTTCTCAAACTAAACTCGTCCCACTTTCCTGCATTTGGTCCATATCCCTCCAAACCTTTCCTATTCATGTACTTATCCAAAAGTCTTTTAAATGTTGTAATTGTACCTGCATCTACAACATTCTCCTACTATGAACTGGCATTTTAATTCCTCATCCAGGTGATAATCTGAAGTAGATTTTTGGACTAACAGAGGTAAAGATATGGAAGTAAAAAGATAAGTCTTTGTAACTGCACTTATTATTTATGTTTTAAACGATTAGTTCAAAGCAGGTCAAATAGGGAAACGATTGATGGCTTAAATGGTAACAGTCCAATAGGATGTCAATTGTGACTTCAATGTGAATTGTTTCAGTATTGCGGCAGGAGAACGTGTACCCCTGTCATCTCACTTAACATTTATTTGTTTATACTCAGCATTACTTTGATAAGTTCCACACATGTACATGTTGTTTGTCTATAACGATTCAGTAACTCTCTTCCTCTTCACATATGGGACAAAACAAGAAAAGGAAAATGGCCAGCCAGCGATGCCCACTTCCCACAAGTGAATTAAAAAAAAACAGAAAAAGCCAACTGGCAACGAAACAAAATAGCTTCATTCCACACATGAACCACTCTCTTTGTCAAAAAGTTGCCACTCATGTCCTTTTTAAATCTTTCTCCTCTAGTTTTGAACTCCCCCATCCTAAGGAAAAGAGTCTTGCTATTTACCTTATCTATGATCCTCATGACTGTATAAACTTCTATAAAGTCACCCCTCAACAATCCTGTGAAAAAGTCCCAGAGAATTTTTGTAACTCAAACCCTCCATTCCCAGCAACATGCTGGTAAATCTTTTCTGAATCTGCTCCAATTTAATAATATCGCTCCTATAACAGGTACACAGAAAAGGCCTCACCAACATCTTGTACAACCTCAACATGATGCCCCAAAGCTATACTCAAATTGTTGCCTATTCCTAATTCCCCATGAGATGATAACATATGAAAACACTAATAATTATGGATGGATACTTTTCATATTCATTGGTTTGCTTTTGTAATGCAGGCATTAACATTTTTTCTACTAAATGGGTTAACTTGTTACTTGAAATGGTCAAACGCATTAGGAATGTATTGGAAATGCCTGAACTCCATTTTAATCACAAAGCAGTTTGGCAAGGAATAATGGGTAAAATCAAAGATTAGCCACTTAAAGCTGAGTATCACAGATGGAGGCAAGAATTACATTTTAATTCTCTAATTATTTATTCTTTCAAAAAATACACTTGGACTTGTATCAGCAAACCATTGTGTTAATTTTGTCAATGTACCAGAGTGAAATGACAGAGAACAAGAGAGAAAAAAAATAACAAAGCTGTGAAAACAGAATTGAAGAAGAATCCACTGTTAGCCCATTAAACTTTCCAGTTTGAATTTTTTAAAAAATCATAGAATATTCTCTCAGAAATTGGGACATCTGTATAATCAGGGTTGATAATATTGTAATAAGTTAAGATAGTTATTTTCGGTCTCAGCACTTTGATATTACATGAAAAGATAAAAAGTAAAAAAGAATAATTTGTTAGGCCATGATACAAAGCAAATGAAGGCTAATAGAGTATTTCTGAAGCATTAATTTTCATGGTTTCTTTAAATTCATCTGTTCATGCATCAGCCACTTTGGACGACTGTTCACTTCTGCAGATACAGTTAGAACATATGATGAATGCTTTAAAGAATGGAGAGACTGAAACAAACCCTGTATTAGAGACAGAGGTGAGGAAAATGAAATTTGTTGAATGTTGTGTGTTTTTCCTGTTTGGAAAGATTTAATAATTTTATGAATATAAACTTTAGAAAATATCATTGTTACCCTGTAACAAAATATTTTACTGCTCAAAATTCAATGTTCCACTGTCATAATATTTATTCCACTATTTACAATCTATATCAGTGGCTTGGAAATGGGGTCTGCATATCTGATGGCTAAATTTGCTAATGACATCAAGCTGGGTAAGAAAGTAAGTTATCAAGAAGAGATTGAAATTCTGCAAAAAGACATGGATGAGTTAAGTGAGTGGGCAAAAAGTTGGCAGGTTAAACATGGGAAAATGTGAACATGTCCACTTTTGAAGCATGGAAAAGCTATTAAATGGTGAGGTTGAAGAACTCGGAGGTACAGAAGGATCTCAGTGTCCTAGTACTTAACGAACAACTGGTTTGCAGGTACAGCAAATGATTAGGAAGCTAAATGGAGTCCTGGTGTTTATTGCAAGGGGAATGGAATATAAGAACAGGAAAGTTTTATTCCACATGTACAGGGCTACAGTGAGACCACATGGGGTACTGTATACATTTTTTGTCTCTTTATTTGAAAAAAATATAACTTTTTTAGAAGCAGACTCATTCCTGGGATGAAGGGCTTATCTTGTGAAAAATGGTTGAATAAGTTGGACCACTGTCCGTTGGTATATAGAAGAATGAAGGATGATCTTATTGAAACATATATAATCCTGGGAGGATTTGACAGGCTGGATTCTAAGAGAATGTTTTTTATTGTGGGAGAGTCTAGAACTTGGGGACAAGAGTGAGGTCATAGAGTCAAACAGCAGGTCTCACTTTTAAAATGGAGGAGTACTTTTTTTTCTCATAGGGTTATTAGTTTGTGAAATTTTCTTTTCTGGGAAATACTGGAGGCTGAAGTTATGCGTTAGATATATTTTTGAATCAGCCATGTTCTTATTGAACGGCTGAGCAAGCGCAAAAGACAGAATGACCTACTTGTACTCTTATGTTCTTGTCATTATGTAATTGTTTACAGCCTGGATTACACAGAATATAGAGTCATATACTATATTTATGTATCACCCTAAATGATGGGCTTACCACTAACTTCTCAACAGTAACTAAGGCAATAGATACAGATTTTATTGTCACATGTACTCAAGTACTGAAGTACAGTGAAAAGTGCATAACTCGGCCACAAAAGGTGCCATCTTGGGAACTAAAGTACCTAAGCACAAAAAACCTATGTACAAAGTAGTAAGAGAAACAGAGTTAATAAGCATTACTTCATAGACTAAGTAGAAAAATAAAGAAATAAATACTGGCCAGCCATTTTGCTCCACATCCCACCAGCAAATTAAGAAAAAGCACAGGCATGGAATTTGAACTCCTGACTTTTAATGATAAATGCCACAGCACAACCACTGAGTCAGTGTTGCCATCCCTCTTAGTATTGGCTCATTTGTCACAACATCAATTTTTAAAATTCTGTGGGAAAGCCATGGGACATTTACTCATTCTTGTAAATGTGGCTTGCAATTAACTAGGTCCCAATTCTGCACAGGGGGATCTTTACGTACATAAGATTAATAAACTTAAATACCCCACCCGATCATTCACTAAATCAGACGCTGTTTAAAAAAAAGCGAAAGGAAAGCATCGTCCCTGCCTCCCTAACCGGTTCTTCCTCCCACCTCAAACCGCACCCCCGTCTCCTACCGACTAACCTCATCCCGCCCCCTTGACCTGTCCGTCCTCCCTGGACTGACCTATCCCCTCCCTAACTCCCCACCTACACTCACCTTTACTGGCTCCATCCCCGCCTCTTCGACCTGTTTGTTTCCTCTCCTCTATCCATCTTCTATCCGCCTCCCACTCTCTCCCTATTTATTTCAAAACCCCCTCCCCCATTTCTGATGAAGGGTCTAGGCCCGAAACGTCAGCCTTTCTGTTCCTATGATGCTGCTTGACCTGCTGTGTTCATCCAGCCCTGCACCTTGGTTGTCAAGCCTCCACATGAAGCGGCTACGAAGCTGCCAGTCGTGGCCAGCGGCGGCGCTATGTTTGGAGAAGGGAGACAGACTTAACGCTCGGCAGGGAATGGGCCATCTTGCAGTTTCTCTGCTGTTCTTTGGAGGGGTCGGGGGGAGGGAGACGTTGGTTGCTTGGATACAGAGGCCTGCGGTTGGGGCTGCAGCTGAAGCCTGGACCTCGGTTTTCGGGATTTCCGTCATCTGTTTCCCTCGCTGCGAAGCGGGCAGCAATATTCTGCGGTGAAAACAGTCACAGAGCTTGCAATTCGGGTGGTGGGTTCCCGCCAGCGCTGACACTGGGCGGAGGAGGAGCAACGACTGGAGGGATTTTTAAAAACCTTCAACAGCCTTTTCTAGTGCATCCATAGAAACCAAATACAAGGAGCAGCAGTTAAGAGAGAGTTGGTTCGATTCTATATGATATATGCATTTCTGTTCAGTTGTTTGATATCCTGCGACGCTTAATTCCTCTTTAAAACAAATTTCGTGCCAAAACCTGGTTTGTCTCTCCCTTTTTTTTGTTGTTTTAGTGAATATTATATAAAACGAATCGAGCCAGTCCGGCGCCTTTGAAAGTTTCCTTTTTTTTTCCCCCCCAGGTAGATTGTGATTTCTGGGTCCTGTATTTAAATTTGAAGGCTAAACCCAAAAAAAAAACTGCAGATGTTGGAAATCAGAAACAAAAACAGAAATTGTGGGAAAAAGTCTGCAGGTCTGGCAGCATCTGTGGAGAGAATTCAGAGTTAAAGTTTCGGGTCCAATGGGCTTTTTGTTTTAAATTTGAAGCGTTTGGTTCGTACATGTCGGGAAATCAGTCGAGGGCACAGGCTGCTATAGCTAGGATGATTTCGGTATTTTTGCTCACGTTCTGACGAACATGGCATTGCTGTGACTCCACTTCTCGACAGTCAGTTGTGCTACCAGACAGAGAGCCTGCCATTTGGATTCTGCACAAATTTAATATTCTTTCAGACTTTATCTTAATACAGTGCCAACCCCTTAACCGTTACACTCATTAAATTTATGGAATTGAGAGTAGGAAAACAATGAGTCTTTTGAAACATTTTTTTAAGTCTGCATTCCTTTTGCAGAAATGCAGTAATCTGCAATAAAATAAAATGCAGTAATCTGCAATCTCAGATGCAACAGCCTAATAAGGGATTTGAAATGTTTTTAAAGGTTGCAGGAGCATTTTTTTGTACCATGATGGCCAAACTGGTGGCCTAATGGTTTAGAGACCCTGCAGTGGCCTGAGGAATTAAATGTTTTCATCCCTGACTTCACCCAAAAGTTTATTTCATTCATCAAATAAAGTTACTGCAATGACCCAGGTAATGATGTCACTGCATAGGATCTTTTGTGAAAGGTAAAGTAAGGGGGTTGGCTAAGCTCAGTTGGCTGGACTGTTGGTTTGTGATACAAAGTGATGCCAAGAATATGGGCTCAATTCCCACACCAGCTGAGGTTACCATGAAGGATTCTCTTTCTCAGCCCCTCCCCTTGCCTGAGGTATGGTGATCCTCTGTTCAACCATCATCAGTTGTGTCTCTTGAATGAGAAAGGAACCCCATGGTCTGGTAAGACTATGATGACTTTACCTTTTTATAGTGCACATGAAAAGAAGTGACTTATTTTCTTATTTTCAATAGTTACCTGTTTCAGTTGTGCATATCTGACATTTGTACATGAGGCAGTTTCTTTTTAAAGTGCTTTTCTTTATGTTTTTAGATATCAGCTTTTCCAGATCCTTACCAAACCAGAAGCAAAATACTGCAGATGTTAGAAATCTGAAATTTAAAAAAAAAATAGAAAATGCTAGAAATCTTTTAGAGACTGTGAACAGTTCAGGCTGATGGCCTCACAACAGAGCTAAATGTGTAATTACTTGGAAAAGGTGACAGCCTTGTGGTATTATTGCTAGATTGTTAATCCAGAGACCCAGATAATGTTCTGGTGACCTAGGTTCAAATCCTGCCATGGCAGATGGTGGAATTTGGATTCATTAAATATTTGGAATTAAGATCTAATGATGACTGAATCCATTGTTGATTGTTGGAAAAACCCAGCTGGTCCACTCATGTCCTTTAGGGAAGGAAATTGCCATGCTTACCTGGTCTGGCATACATGTGACTCCACAACCACAGCAATGTGGTGGTCTCTTAACGGCCTTCTGGGCAATTAGAGATGGGGCAATAAATGCTGCCTAGCCAGTGACGCCCTCCTCCCATGAATGAATAAAGAAAAAAAAATGACGTAGGTGAGACTAGGGATTGTCAGAAACTAGGAACTTAATTAAAGAACAGGGCCTCAATGGTTATAATCTGCAGATTGCTGTCAAAGCCATGCGCAAATCAGCATGGGGATGCAAGAATAAGGGAAGTAAACATGGCTAAAAGAGTGGTGCAGGAAAGAGGGGTTCCTTTTTATAGGGCATTGGCATCAGTATTAGAACAGGAGGGATCTGTACCGTTGGGACGGTCTCCACCTGAACTGAGCTGGGACCAATGTTCTCAAGAAATAGGGTGGTCAACAGGACTTTAAACGAGAAAGTCGGGGGGTGGGGGGTGGAGCAACGGAAGGGTAAAATGCCAAGAAGTATAGTGGCCAATGGGAAACGGAGCAGCAGGTTAACATCTGTGGGTGGATTCAACTGCATGGAAAGGTATGAAAAAAATGAAAATAAAGGAGAACTCGGGAGAGGCTATTAAAGTCTCCAGCACACAAAATAGGACAGTGTTTGGAAAGGGTTAGAAATCAAACTTCAGCCAGAGCGTGGTGAATCTTTGGAATTTATTGCCAGAGAACGCTGTGGAGGCCAGGTCACTGAGTATATTTAAGATAGGTTCTTGATTGTCAAGGGGATCGAGGATTACAGGGTGTAGGTGGGAGAATGGAGCTGAGAAACTTATCAGCAGTGATTGAATGGCAGAGCAGACTTGATGGCCCGAATGGCCTATTTTCTGCTCCTGTGTCTTATAGTAATAACAACCTCAACGTGACAGTCCAAATCAAAAAACTTTTTTTTAATAGTTCACCCAAGAAGCTGTGGGCCACATGATCCGAGGCAGTAGAGGTCTTCTAGGTTATTGTGTTGTATGTGCATATCACAAACATATCTATTCCTGTCCATATTCACAAACTTTCCATCTGAGACATTTGGATTATAATTAGAAGTGAGAACTGTAACAGTGCTAAATATTTGTCTTGGGTCCCTAATCAATGAATAGAGGTCAGGAATCCAATCTGGGACTATACTGCTGTATATATCTCAGTGCGGTATTTAGTTACTGGACGATAATTGGGCCAAATCTTCTGGTTTTTGAATTGGTGACTGGGTTTGCGACTGAATAAGAACATAGGAAAGTTGTTACAGTCCTGTCAAGCATACCTATATGGAAGTAGCTTGGAAGGTTAGTGGCAATTCCACTGGCTCTGGGAGCGTGTGTGATCATCTCTGACTCTGAGTTGGAGTCAGAAGCTTAAGACATTTCTGTAGTACTTACCTGAATAGTTATGCATTAAATGATTTAGATTGATACCTGGTGTAATACCTTGGTAATATCACAGCTGACCTAATTCAACGACCACACGCACACACGGGCGGGCAGGCAGACACGTGAGTTGAATGATGCAGGAAAATGTCTTAACAGTGCAAAATTGCCAGCTGTACTAGGATTTGGTCTAATGTTCTTTTCGTTCTCTAATTCTTGTCTTTTATGTGTTGTATCGAAGTTTGGTAACAGGATCTTCAACTGCCTCAATTATTTGGGAACATCTGAACATCCTCTTAAATCTTTCTTCATACCTTTTTACAGCCATCTTAAAACACCCTTCTGCAATCAAGCTGTAGGTCAATTTGTATAACCCTCCCTCAAAGGGTGCTGTCCACTTATCATACACTCTGGAAAAATACTCAACCTCATAATCTTTCAATAAGTAATGTTTATAACTTGATTCTAAAGGGGATTTTCATCTCTTTTTAGGGTATGGAATCTCTATCCAAATGCGGCTACATAGAAAATCCACTTTCAAGCTTGGAAAACATTTCGTTTACTTCTGTTGATGTTCAACAGAAGGCAGTGCCTCATGTGACAACCACTGAATCAAGAAACCATGGTGAGGCTAATGTGATTAGCCTGGCTGCCAACAGCAAAGGTATATTTATAGATGGGGAAAGGGTTGTTAACATTTGCAATATTGTTCAAAATATAAAATGTAGAGGACTGTGTTTCGAATATTTCAGTAGACTCAAATAATGAGGCAATACTTTGCATTTCCAGTTTTTTTTTTGGATCTGTATCGTCATCTTTTATGGCAATAGGTAGCATTGAATTGAAATACAGAATAATATTAGTTGACCATCTGTATCTCAACCTTGAACATACTTACTGACCCAACCTCCACATCCCTCCGCAACAAAGAATTCTGCAGAATCACTACCCTCGGAAGAAATTCCTTCTTATCTCTGTCTTAAATGGGTGACCCTTTACTCTCTTTAATTTCTTTAACTCATGGGACGTGGATGTCATTGACTGAGCCAGAATTTATTGCCCATCACTAGTTGTCCTTGATAAGGTGGTGATGAACTGCCTTCATGAAGCACTGTAGTCCATGTTTAAGGTGGAAGGTGTGGTGTCAGCCGCATTCCACCCTTAGCTCACTTATTGTTTTGAACTGCCTTGGACTCCACTACTTTGGACTCTGCCGCTACCCAGATCCCAGTTTCAAAAGAAGCTGGACTGTTGGAATCGGAGTCCCTGGAACCTGAGCTGTTATTTCCCAGGTAGGCAGCACAGCATTTGCTGTGCAGATCCAAGGAGAATAAACTGAGTTGGAACAACTGCTACCTACTTACATTAGAGACACTGGTGGAAAAAAAGAACCAAGTCTGAGCAAGGTGGAGAAATTCAGGTAGATGGAAGGGTGGACAAAGGGGTAGGTTTAGAGTGAGGGAAGGTTGAGTTAGGTAGACTGAGTAGTATGAAAAGGAAGGCTTGAGGGAGAGACGAGTTGAGTGAATGTGGGTTTGGATGCTGTTGGAGGGAAGGGCAAAGCGAATGGGATTTCATAGGGAGAGAGGGAATGGTTGGGAGAAGGAAGAACATGGATTTGGAGGGAGGTAGTGAGTGAGTGGGAAGACATCTGGGAAGGTGGTGTTGCTGAGTGAACGTAATCAGCCCACGCAAACTCGATGTGTGTCGGGGAGTGGAAGGAGAGGGTCTTCACTGAGATTTCTAGGGAAAATGGAGATCTTCACTGGAATCTAAATGAGTAGATAAAATAAAACTTCTACAAAGCATTTTGAAAACACTTATTATTGTCATATAGTGTCACTATACCCCTTTTAATGCTGTTGTGTATTGATTAGTTTTATTTTCCATCATGATGATTTTCAAGAGATTTTCAATAAATATTTGTTCATGGCTGTGGACATTACTGGCAAGGACAGCATTTTTTCCCAATCCTAAATGTTCTAGAGAAGATGGTGGTGAGTTAAAGTGAGGTTAGTTTGGAAAATAGTTCAAAGCACTGCTGTAATCCTTTGTTTTGTACTTGAATAAACCAGCAAGGTCTTGGCCTGTTTTTGATGTGGTCTTTCTGCTGTATTATGTGCACGAACTGCATTGAATGCAGAAATGCTGAAGTCATGTTGGTGAATTTATACAAATGCATTTTTCCACTGCCTTGATGTTAATGGAAGGTGCACAAAGGGAAAACTACTTGTTTTTATTCACTTGAAGTCTAATGATTCCACCCATCTAAGGTGGCCCAAAAGCATTTGCGTTTCACTGCAGATCCTAGAAGTACTGTCATACAACATATTCCTTGTCACAAATAATTTTGAACATTTTTGTCTTGTGTTATTCTCACCTCTATTCTGCTTACCAATTATAAAGCTGCCAATAACAATTTCTGTATATTTATTCTCAAAATCCCTTTCAATTCAGTACAGCTCCATTAAATCTCCACTTACCTCTCTCTGATCCAAGGGAACACCAATAAGTAAGTTCATTGCCAAGTTGCAAACATTGCTAATCTGACTATATTGCTGTTCCTTTACCATCACTGAATCAGAATTCTGCAATTCCCTTCTTAAAATCACTGTGGGAGTCCCTGCAAGGACTAAGTGATTCAAGAAGGCACTTCCCAACTTTTCCCAGAGCAATTGGGAATAAGCCACAAATGCTGGTCGAGTCAGTGATGCCAACATCCCATGAACAATTTTTTCTTAAAAGAAAGTTATCGTGGCTTCTCAGCTCTATGTCTAGTCTAGTTTAGTCAAAATTACCCATGTGACTTTTTCAAGTGAAATTAATTCTAAATTTGGACTCTTGTGGAACTAACCACATAATTGGGAACTTCATTGAGATCTAAGCTGTTTTCCTCCCCAAAAGTCTAACCTCAGTATGAAGTATTTTTCTGTTTCCAGCTATAGTTTTGGCTTTGAAAAATCTTCAGGAAAAGATTCGGTGTTTAGAAGTGGAACGCGCCGAAGCTGAAGAGAAAGTACAAAGTCTGAGCTATGAATCCATTCAGTACAAACGTATACCAGAGCAAGGAAAGAAAAATAACACCAGAATTGAAAAGGGAGCATCTAATGGTGAATATGATTGGTTTTGCTTTGTGGAAATGTTTTGGATTTTAAAATGTTGTTATCACCAACTTCAGCCAAGAACCCAAGCAAAGCCATGCTGTGGAATGCAGCCTAGTTTTAAAATAAATCTATAAGATGGTTCTGCGTGGAAAGATCGTCATTTAAGGTGCATTCCTATTTGCCCTTGAGAAGGTGGTAATAAGCCACCATCTTCAATTCCTGTATGTATGATAAAGATACTCATGCAGTTCAGTTAGGCACTGCATAAAAGGTCAGTCTGTGCCTGTGTTCTTCACATAATCTGCTCCTAATTTCAACTTTAACACTGCCAACAGTTGCGCAGTGAAAATTAGCAAAGAAGGGTGAAAAGAGAAACAGTAACAGACAATACCAACAGTCTGTAGACACTATCGTTTTAATAGATCCTTCCTCTTTCTCTGAGAAGCTGGAATAGTCTCTCTTTTTACCATTCCCATTTTTCCCGTCAGTGAAGCCGGACCGCTTCTGGAGTTTCCTTATTATCTGTCCCCATTGGGAAGGCAGACAAGATGATCTGCTCCTGAACTTCTTTCAGTTCTACCTTTAGATGAGATGTCTGAAGCTGAGAGTGCTAATTTTCTTTTCAAAGTTTGTGAGATTTGCCATTTTCCCTAACGCCCCTTATTATGTAGTGTCAGTGGTTTGTTGTTATGTGGTAACTGATCACATATGTGAGTTGAGATTACAGATATTGAGGAACAGGAGTATTCTTCACTTTTACATACTTTTTAAAAGCTACTCTCGTATGACCTGTTCTTTATTTATTTTATTATTTTTGTGAGTACCGTGTCAATGCTGATGAATCAAGTGGTCAAACTGCTGCTGATTCCCTGTGGCTAGCAATCCAACCTTCTGCCTCTTGCAAATATTTGACAGCAGCAGCTAGAACATTCCAAAATCACCAAGAAATAGGAACTGATGTAAGTCATTCAATAAATTAATTACTGATTTGATTGTAGCCTTAATTCCATTTTCCTACCTAACCCTGATCTGTTTAATTCGGCCTTGAATATATTCAATGATCCAGCTTCCACTGCTTTCTTGGGAAGCAAATTCCAAAGACTACCAGTCATTTAAGAAAAAATATTCCTCCTCATCTCCTTAAATGGGAAAGCCCATATTTTGAAACTGTGCCCCTAATTCTCATTCTAATTCTCAGCATCTTATGTTTCAATGAGATCAGCTCTCATTCTTCTAAACTACGATAAGAATAAGTCCAATTGACCTAATTCCAGGAATCAGCCTAGTGAACTTTTTCTGAACTGCATCTAATACAAGTAAATCCCACCTTTAAAAAAAATTCAGGAGACTAAAACTGTTCATGGTCTCTGGGTGTAGTCTCACAGGTTTTCTGTGCCATAACAAGAAATTCCTACTTCTATACTCCATCACCCTTGAAATAAAGGTCACTACTCTGTTTACTTCCCTAATTACTTGCTGACGTCTTGTGATTCATGTACAAGAACAGCCTGATAACGCCAGAAAAAAAAAATTGACAATCTGTCTTCATTTAAATAAAATTCAACAAATTGTCTCTGCCAAAATGGATAACTTCACATTTTCCCACCTTATAGTCTCATCTGCCAAACTTCAATCAACTCAATTAACCTCGCTCTGTTGCTTTGTGCACTAGTTGCATCTTCCTCACAACTTGCTTTGCTACCTATCTTTGTATCATTGGCAAATTTGGCCCCAGTACATTTGAACCCTTCATCCAAGTCCCTTGCTAGGGAATTCTTGAAAAGCAGTTAATGACTTATACCTTAACCACATGCTTGAGACTGGAAACAACTGAGAATGTTTGTTTGTTTTTTTTGTCTGATACCTGGCTGCGCAAGATTTTGGAAATTGTCATACACCTGCCAGATAAGAACCAATGAAATAGGAGTAGGCCATCTGTCCCTCAAGCCTGCCCTACCATTCAATAAGATTGCAGATTCTTTGTCCTCATTGCAGCATGCCGTCCCATCTGTTATTGTATTATCAGAAAATTTGGATAATTTGCACTCTGACCCCTCCTTCAAGTCCTTAATGTAGATGGTAAATAATCAAAGTCCTAGGATTGATTCTTGTGACTCTTGCTAGTTATATCTTTCTGTATATTGTCCAATCCTCAATCCATGCTAACACATTATCCATGAGCTTCAATCTTGTGCATTTATCTTTTATGTGGTACCTTACCAAATGCCTTCTCACAACATCTACTGGTTCCCCTTAATCAACTGTGCTTGCTATATCCTCAGAGAATTCTAGCAAAATTGTCAAACATGACTGTGTTTTTAGATGGCATACATGTGGTATGTTTTGCATGAGAGTTCACAAGTTGCTGAGGCCAGCTTTCCTACAGTTAGCAGACAGGGAGCAGACTGTAAGTGGATAACAGCATCCAAGGGCTGTCATTCACCACGGAAATCAATGGATTTGATCTCTGACTAGTGGAGATGATACTAAAGTAAAGCCAAAGGTATAATAATATTAATAATAATATTATTATTATACCTTTGGCTTTACTTTAGTATCATCTATAATAATATTATTATGGATCAAAGGAAGTGATATTGATAAATTGGTAGAACTGGAGGTGGGAGGCAATCACTGATATGAGTAACTGGGGCACATTTTTTTTTAGAAAAACGGAAATAATTGCATTTTGAGGGAGGTTAAGTGATGTGGAAGGACAGAGCAATTTGGGAGTTTGGCTTCTCAAAATCTCTGAAAGCACCACCTGAAATGGATAAGCATATAGCAAATGTCAATGGAATGCTGAGTTTCTTGGCAAGGTGTATAGAATATAACAATCAAGATTTGTTAACAATATGGAGGGATTGAACAGATGAAATAAGCATTCTTTTTCCAGTGGTAAAGGGTGATACAGATTGAATGAGATTTAGGACAGAAAGCAGGAGAAACATTTTACCTAGTGTGTTGTGAGGCTAAGCAATGTATAATTGAAATTGGTCAATGAAGCAGGAATCATGGTGGCTTTTAAGAACAAGGTAGATATTTAGTTGAATGATGGGGATAAAGAATCGGGCCACTGCTCTTGTGGAGCATTAAACCCCAATACTGATATGATGATTGACCCGATTCTCTGTTGTAATTCTGTGGTAGATATCAAGCAGGAGCTATGCTTTTAACTGGTGACATCATATCCCTGATGAGGCATAGCCACTCTCCAGGCATAAGGAAGGTAAAGCAAAAATATTGAAGATTTGAAGGAGGTTGAGAAAGCCAATGGCTCATTAAAGAATGAAACAAAACTCTGTTATTGAACCAATTCTAGATAACTTCATTATTGTTCTTTATTCAGAACTTGCTGTTCAGCTAGCAAATGTTGAAGACCGCTGTTCACTTTTGGAGAAACAATTAGAATATTTGAGGACGATGGTGGACCATACAGAAACTGAGAAAAACATTTTATTGGAGAAACAGGTGAATATGCCAAATTACGATTCTCTTTATTTGGGTTATGCATTGTATCTGTTTTTTAAAAATAAAAAATGCCTTTGTGTGCATCCAGAGCCATATTGCGTACACCAGTAGCATGTGATATCACTCCCACAACTAATTGCACCCTATACGTTGGATCATGAGTAGGTTCCAGGCTGTCTTACAAGCCGTCTGGAAGTGTACATCTGCTGTCGTTTGTCACTTAAAATCAGTAGACAGGATGTATATTGTGAATGAAAACAATGTTGCGGGAAAGCTCAGCTGGTCTGGCAGCATATGTGAAGAAAAAATCAGTTAAAGTTTTGGGTCCGGTGACCCTTCCTCAGAACTGATGGTGGCTGGAAAAAGTCAGTTTGTATGCAGAAAGGGGGGGGGGGGGGGGGGGTAGGGAGTAAACGATAGGAAAGAGCCTGAAGAGAGAGAGAAGAAGAGAAAAACAGTTGGACAGACAAAGGAGTTGATAATGATCTGGCTGGGAGGGTGAATAGTTGTTAATGGGGACTGTTAGTGACTAACAACAGGTGGTGTGTAATGGCAGGCTGTGTGATAACAAGGCCAAGGCAGTAGTAGGAGGATGGTAACAAATTTTTGTGGGAAGCCAAATTTGAGGAGGATGATCCTGAATCCTTCCCAGTTTTCAGAGTTCAAGGCCTTTGTGAGGCTGAAGAAGGCCATTTACAGAAACTGCTGCTGATCTCTAGCCTGTTCTTTTTCTTTGTCTTGCTGTGACGATCATGTCCTCTGTGCCTGTTAATGCACGTAATTTGCATTGTAATTCTGGTAGGAGCTCTTCAGCTGCTGGGAGGGGCAATTGGGAATCTGACATCTGGCCTCACTTATAGCCTTATTTCATTCTGTATCTGATAATTATCCACAAGTTACTTAAAACATGAAATGGGCTTTGCCCCTTATGACTTCTTGTGTCCAAAGTATTCCATGCTCCAATAGCTCTCTACATGAGAATTTCTCCTGACTTCTCTCCTGATCTTCAGTGACTTCTTAAATTGATGAAACTTTGTTACTATTTCTAACAGAAGAAAGTATTTTTGTATTCTCTCCATCAAAACACTTCAGAATTTTTGAACCTTCTGTTGACTCTTGGACCTTTTTTTTCTTGAAGAATCATTTGCTTTTCATTAGGTCAGCCTTTGACTGAGATCATCCACTGAGTTGGTATATAGTATATTGCCATATGCTGCCAACTCAATTAGTTTTATTGAATGTTTATCAGATACCTGTGCAAGAAGATTTCTCCATCAGTATGCGATGGTTAAACATATTTGAATGTAATCATTTTATTATCCAATGTTTCATAATAATTATCTCTAAATAAATCATATACTTTGACCTCTAGACCTCACTGCAGATGGATAGGCACTGGAGCCATGCAGAACTGCAGTCAAAGCTCGAAAAACTGGAAATTCTAGAACAAGAGTGTCTAAAAGTCAATGCAACGCAGACCAGAGCTGAAGTAAGTAATGTATTTTAATTTAAAGTCCAACAACAATAAATAGGGACCAAATTGATAATCACGTTTTTTAATCATTTTTCATTCCTTAAACTAATATTGGCAAATTCCAAAGTTAGCAATGGGTACCTCATTGCTGTCAATCTCCTGCAAGTGAAGAGTTATGCCTGAAGATTGGAGAAAAGTACCATAATATTTGAATATTCAAAGCACTTTATGTAGTAACAGAAGTTGTTATAAGATTTAGAAACGGATGAGTATTTACTAACTTACCTGCGTTAACTAATGCGCTGTTGGCAGCATCCAGTTGAAGAAGGTCAGCTCTTTTTCAGCAATAATGTTTATCTGAAGTTTTCCAAATGCTAAGACACTGAAAAATGTAGATCTCTACGTATGGACTTTCAGTAGGTCTCATTTGTTTTTCCACAAAGTTCAGGAAGCATTTTTATAAATTTGATTGACATTACTTGAGCACTGGTCTCTTGGTGTACCAATTTATAAATAGCAATTTATATTGGTGGGTGATGGCCAAGCGGTATTATTGTTAGACTATTAATCCAGAAACCCTGCTGATGTTCTGGTGACCCGGGTTCAAATCCACCACAGCAGATGGTGGAATTGGAATTCAAAAAAAAGACTGTAATTATGAATCTACTGATGACCATTAAATCATTGCCGATTGTCAGAAAAACCCATCTGGTTCACTCATCTGCCGCCCTCACCTGGTCTGGCCTACATGTGACTCCAGACCACAGCAAAGTGGTTGACTCTCAACTACCCTTTGAAATGGCCTAGCAAACCACTTGGATGTACCAATCGCTACAAAAACTCAAAGAAATGAGACTGGACGGATCACCTGGCATTGACCTAGGCACCAGAAAAGACAACGGCAGAAACAGCCCTGTCGACCATGCAAAGTCCTCCTCACTAACATATGGGGGTTAGTACCAAAATTGGGAGAGCTGTCTCACAGACTAGTCAAGTAACAGCCTGACATGGTCATATTCTACAAGAGCAGGCCAGAAGCTGGGAATACTGCAGCGAGTAACTCATCTCCTAATTCCTCAAAGCCTGTCCACCATCCACAAGGCACAAGTCAGGAGTGTGATGGAATACTCCCCACTTGCCTGGATGAGTGCAGCCCCAACAACACTCAAGAAGCTTGACACCATCCAGGACAAAGCAGCCCACTTGATTGACATTACATCCACAAGCATTCACTCCCTCCTCCACCAACGCTCAGTGTGTACTATCTACAAGATGCACTGCAGAAATTCACCAAAGATCCTCAGACAGCACATTCCAAACCCACGACCACTTCTATCTAGAAGGACAAGGGCAGCAGGTATATGGGAACACCACCACCTCCAAGTTCCCCTCCAAGTCACTCACCATCCTGACTTGGAAATACATTCCTTCTCTGTCGCTGGGTCAAAATCATGGAATTCCCTCCCTAATAGCTTTTAGGGTCAACCCATAGCTGGAGGACTGCAGTGGTTCAAGAAGGCAGCTCACCACCATTTTCACAAGGGCAACCAGGGATGGGTAAGAAATGCTGGCCAGCCAGCAACGCCCACATCCCACAGGTGAATAAAAAAAAATGACAGGCTTGAGTTTGTAGTTGAGATTCATGCACAATCCTGTGTGAATAAGCATGTTGCCAAAACATATTTCTAGTTTTTGTTCTCTTCATTGCTAAAGAAACACAAGATGACCATATTTTAAAAGGAGGTTTTCTTTTTTCAGTGTAACTTTCTGTTGTGATGTGTCAGTTTTAATTTCTATCACTGTTAGATTGCTATAAATGTCTTTCAATTCTAGAAGAAAATTTATGAACTGGAACAGAAACTTCAGGAAGAAGAACATCAGCGTAAACTTATACAAGATAAAGCAGCTCAGGTGAGTGGAGAAAAACTGACACTTCATACTAATTTTTGATTTTCTTTTGAGGAGAAGTTAAGTAGATTGGACATTAACTCGTTGGAATATAGAAGTATGAGAAACGACCTTATTGAAACGTACAAGCTTGACGGTATATGCGAAAAGGTTGTTTCTCCTTTATGGGAGAGCCTAGGACTAGAAGGCAGAGTTGCTGAGTAAGAGGTTGCACGTTTAAGACAGATGAGGAATTTCATCTTGCAGAATGTAGTGAACCTGTTGAGGTATTTACCACAGATGGCTGTTGAGGCTGGGTCAACACGTCCATTCAAGACTAAGATGGACAGATTTTTAATCAGTAAGGGAATCGCGGGTTGTGGGGCAAAGGCAGGAAAATGGAGCTGAGGATTATCAAACCAGCATCAATCTCATTGAACGTTGGAACAGACTCAATGGGCTAAATGGCCTGCTTCTGCACCTTTGTCTCATGATTAGCCCTCATAAGACAGTCCCTCCATACCTGGTATCAGCCTAGTGAACCTTCTCTGGACTGCCTCCAACATATTAATGTCTTCCCTTAGATAAGGGACCCAGAACTATTTGCAATATACCAGCTAGGGTCTGTCTAGTGCTTTGTATAGTTTTAGGAAAAATCTCCCTACTTTTATACTCTACTCCCTTTCAAATCAAGGCCAACATTCTATTTACCTTCCCTCTTACCCACTGATTCTAGCTTTTTATGAATCGGGGATGTGGGATCCAAAATCCTCTGTTCTGTAATCTTCTGCAATCTTTCTCCTTTTTTAAATAATATTCAGCTCTTCTATTCTTCCTTTTAAAGTGCATGACCTCGCATTCATGCACAATGTATTCCATCTGCCATGTTTTACTCCATTCACTTAACCGTTATATCTCTCTGCAGACTCTCCATCTCAGCATCATCACTTGCAATCCTATCAATTTTTGTGTCATCACAAACTTTGCCAGTTTTTCTGATTTGCAGTATTTGTAGTTTTTTGCTTTGATCTTTTTTTTTTACTGTTTATGAAGTCATCTATGCACAGAATGATTATGATATGATACTTAAAAATAACTCGTATGTGTAAAAATCCATGAGGTTTTATATTTTAAAGTTCTGAAATTCCCCTCTTCCTTTTGGACAATTTTTATTTCTGTAAATGTGTATGCTTCTTTCTGAAGTAGAATTGTTGAAGTGTAAAGAATGAAAACTTACAACAGAACAATTATTCCAATTGTTTTTCTCTTCTGTTAATTCAAACAAGGCTGCGTTTGCTGACCCCACGTGCATTGATGGATGCGGCCGTGAAAGGGGAAGACTGGACCAGATTGGAGTGGGTGGTGTTCCCTTCCACCCCTTCGCCAGTCCCCACTGCCCCATCTGTAATAAGTTTTCACAGCCATAGTGCATATGTGTCCTATATCTAACGACTTACTTGTTAAAGGGTTAACTTGGGCTTTGCCGTGCTAAGCCAGGTGCTGATGTGCACCTTGCTGAGTTAAGGTGCTGGTCTGGTGGATTGAGTTTTGGAAAACAAACTGTGGTGATGTAAGGTCCTTTCCTCATATTGCTAGGTGGAGACACCTAAAAATCTTTGAATCAAAATTACTTTGCCTGATTTCAAATCTTATTGCTAATGCTGAATGTTTCTCAATCATATTGCTTTCAGCTTTTGGGAATTGTTAATGTCATGCACCTTTCTCATTCTAGTTTTCTTGGCTTATGCTTTGCTTTCTTTATAATGATCCTTTTAGGCTTTCTTAACAAAAATAATGCACTGTTAGCATAAATTAAATTATTTTACAAATCATTGAACTGTTCCTAAGCTCTAAGTAAAAGTGGTTGTCGATGAGAAATTTTATGGCTACGTGCATTTGAGTTCTCTATTAGGAGTACTTTGTCATGCCACAGCTCCATTTTTTTGAGGAGATATTTAGTGTGTGAGCTATGTACAGGGGGTTCTGCTATAATGCGATAGTAGCGTTCTTGTGCAACATTGAGTTATAGAAAATTGCACCATAGAAATAACAGGGCCTATGGGAAAAGCAGGGTTAGGGGCAGAACACCAAAAATTATCACTCAAAAATTGCTCAAAAATCACTCCAAAGCCTAACACAAAGGATAGCACAATTTGAATATATGTTTAATTCAAATCTAATAATGAAATTTAAAGTAAATTTAACGCCTTATCTTGAAAAAATGGTTAAGATGGCTTCATGGGGGAGGAGATTTTGAGGTTGCGCTGTAGTTAATGCAGGGTCTGAGGGTCGTCGTCGTCGTCATCATCATTCTCATCATCATCGTCATCCTCTTCTTCATCTTCATCTTCATCTTCAGGTGCAGTTGTGGTTGCAGGGTTAGGGCGGAAAATAGTTAATGTAGAAGTGGATGGCTGTGGTTCATTGTTTTCTGACTTTCATGGGGGTTGGCTTAAAAAAAAATCCAGTTTTTTCAGCTTTGCCCTTTATCTTCTTTCATGAAGAAGCTGTTCATAGGGGCCAGATAAGATCTTATTCCATGAACTGCTACCCTGTTGCATTCTGCATTGTAATTGTTGACCTCCAGGAGCTGTAACTGCTTCTCAATTTCCATCAGGATAGGAGATAAAACATAAGTGAAGAGCTCTAGTGGTGCTGCATCCTGGACTACTTCATCTCCAGCTTCCACTCTCCTCCCTCCGCGACAGGTTGTCAATAGATCAGCTGTAGACTGGTCTTCACAGTGGGACTCAAGCAGCTCTTCAATGTCCTCACTGTCCACTTCTTCAAATCTAACTGGCTTTGCAAGATCAACACAATGTTCCTTGATTCTTGGGAGCTCCTCTGACAGATCAAAGGTTTTAAAATCTTGAAAGAAATCTGGGAGTAGCTTCCACCAAATTGCATGCAAGCATTCCTTACTGACATCACCCCAGGCCTCCACGATAGTGTCAATTGCATTCTTGATGTTAAAGCTCTTCGAGAATTGAGGAACACTGTCCTTATCCCCCTCAGTGGCTGCAATCAACCCTTAAATGTGCACCTTAAATAATAAGCTTTAAAAGCTGCCATTGCACCCTGGTCCACGGGTTGAAGGAGAGAGGCTGTGTTTGGGTGTAGACATAGCTCTTTGATGTTTTCGGAAAGCTCACCAATGGTGGAAGGATAGCTTGGTGCATTACCCAGGATGAGGAGAATCTTGAAATCCAATTTTTTTTTCCTGCAATACTTTCTAAAAATATCTTCCAAAACGTCATCAATAAGGTCACTGAAATCGCATTATAGCCAACACAAGTTCGCGTTTTAGAAATAGCGTTCCCCCATTTGTCAGTCGTGTTATAGCCAATTTGCACTGCCGGAACACGCATTATAGCAGAACTCCTTGTAGTACCATTTGCAAACATGCAGTTTTTTGTTTAATAATCGTTAAACTGGAACTAAAAAGAATTGAAGATTTATTTAGAATGTTGCAAAATCCTCATGATTTACTAATGTGTCATTATCTAGATACAAAAACATTCAATTATATACTTAAACTTATTTTTATTATCTTTGCAAATTTTTGAAAATTCTTCATGGGACAAACTGGTATGTTTATAATGTCTAAGTAATAGTGCCCAATTTAAATCTAGACTGTCAAAAATATCGCAAAAGACTTGAGCATTTTAGGAACTCCTTTTAATACTTATGTCTCTTTCCAGCTTCAGACTGGACTTGAAATAAACAGAATACTTTTGGGATCATGCTCTGTAAAGAAAAAAAAGAAAACCAAGAGAAGGAAAGACATTATGAAGGTGAGAGGGAGCAGTGACTGAAATAATTTGTAAATAAAGGCAACTGTTACTGCATTTTTACAGTTTCAATTTCAAGAAAGTCTTTAAATTATTTTCACACTTTTAGATATTCCCTTTGCAATGCCCTATACAAGGACAGAAAATAGATTCTTATTTATTTCCAGATTATAAGTCTATAAATTTTAAGTTTTTTATTTTTGAAGTGACTAGCTATGTTGCTCAACTTGATAGAATTTTCTTCTCAATATTGAGGCAGAAGCAAAAATACACAGGTGCATCATTTAGTTCTGGTGACTGGTTTGCTGTTGCCATTTTGACTACTTGTGATTTTGCTTAGGTATGGAAGGCAGGGCTCAGCAACCTGCCCAATTCTGTTCAGTTCCAAATAAAAACTGTTTAATTAGCTTAATTGCTACGTTATTGAGGGCCAGTTTTGTGCTTTGTGAGTATTCATGAGTACTACAATGGCTCTGAAACAGGCCAAATAGATACAAGTGGCAACAACGAATGGAGCCGGTCGTGGCTGTACCATTCGTTTTGGTGGGCCCACGAAAGGGTGCACAGCTAAATGTGACGCTCAGCCATTGTTATACTGTTACCATTAGATGAGCAAATCTAGGGGACCGGCGTGGTCTGCTAATAGAGGCATTGTAACCTTTCACGGATTGTGAGAATTTATGGAGGGGAGGCCCATTAAACATTGTGACTGCAAACAAAACAATAGCTGGGCATGCGATTAAATAGATGATGACATTCAGCATCTGCAGGAACTGATGCAGAGCAACAGAGGTCATCCTCTCGGCACAGATTATGTTAAGAATGAAGCAACCTGAAAATGAGAGAGCATTACTGCTGAAGAAGAGCTGCACCTATATCACAAGTGACAGCACAAAATGCAACTCAAAGATCACTGCCCTGTTTGTACTTTCAAATAAATGTGGCTTTGTAGGCACAAAGGGTATGGATTTGTCTCCATCTCTGGGTTCCAGCAATTGCAGAGCACCATTAGTTGCAACCATGTGACTATCAAGACACTGAATGAGCAGTCAGTGAGTTTCACTAACTGGGAGGGATTTAGCTCATATATAAGAAGAGCTTTCTGCCCATGCTCAACAATCTGACAGCTCCATTGAACAGCCCTACTGCGTGCCACAGCTCTTCATGCTATTACCAGAACTACATGAATGTATTCTGGGGGACCTGAGACAGAGCCATAGAAGTGCTATAACAAAAGCAATCTGCTCACAAGACTACCACTGAGCACATCATCAGGCTTCTAAAGATCTAGTTCCAGTGCTCTACAGTCATGGTGTGCCCTTGCATATATTTGTGCAAGGATCTTGAAGAGGATGGGCCAAATGGCGTTGTAAATTCTGAGCCTGAGATGGAAAGGGAGGGAGGTGCAGAGCATTATGATGCTTTTTCTATGCATGGGAGGTAGTTGAAATTGACTCAGGTCAAAGCTGTTATCAGGATAACTTGAACTACATTATATCTGATGTCGACACATTTCACCAGAGTAGTAGTCATTCAGCAGGATAATATACACTTATCACTCCCTTTGATGCCTCTGTGAGAAAGCATCCATTAAATACACAACCTTGAAATAATTCATTCTTGCAGGCAGTGTTGGCTACTCTTCACTGTCTTGGTGTTTTCAAGTTTAAGTTCAAAGACCACGCCTTCCCTTCACTTTTCTTCCACGCTTGCCATTAAAGAATTAAGTTCAGATATCTAGGATCATTCTTCCGTTATGCATGCATTAATTTAGTAATAATAATAATAATAAGTAAAATTATCCCAGTGAACCACTCTGATTACTTGCATGGTGGCTTTCACTCTTAGCTATTTCTGTGTTTTCCTTGTAGCCTCTGATTAGATGGGGGCAAGTGTCTCCTATGGTTGAGATGCTCTTGCAGCAATGTCTGTGGGGTGAATTCTAGGGGACCCTGTCACATGCACCTTACTGTGTACTTCAGAGCAACCAAAGTTATCAATTATGCCCTTCTAAGGGATGATACTGTGACCTCTGTGACTGTCACAGCTGTTGGGTGCTGTGGAATCTACCCTGTGTTTGCACCTGTGATTGCTATAGAGCATTGTGTGCGTAGTGTGCCTGTCACTGCACTATTCCTGCATACACTTAAAAGTGTTGCTGCATATGACTCTCGATGAAGGAGTTTAGTGTTTTGAGACCCTGCACTATGTTAGTGTTTTATGACCTGAATGGAGTCATGCATTTTAAACCCAAGACTTTGAACCTCTTCAATTTGTGTGCACACACATCTCAGACTTCTGATTAAAGTGGAGTAGTTGCTTGTTATTCTAAAGGTCCTGTGCCTGCACACAGCTGAGCATGTCTGCCCTTCATGCTGCAAGGGCGAATGTCCATAGCTGTCTCTCCTTCCACCTCTATCACTTCCACTATTTTATATTTGCCATTCTCCAAACCTGGTGCCACCCTTTCTAATTGTGATCAACAACCTACTCCTATGAGTATCACTGAACTGTGTGTCTGATCCAAGTGTCTGGTCTGTTTTTTTTTTCTGTCTTGTTTGAGGTTCCTGATGATGCTTCAACACTAATGTGCTTCCCGGTCACATTCCACCCCCTTGTGGGAGACATGAAAAGTAGATTGATTACTTGCCTGTGATAGCAGATGTGATTTCAGAACTGAGCTTTTCCAATGCATCTGAGGTTTTGGCATAGCCATGTTGGGAGAAATGTGCTCCATCCACTTCATCTTTGGGTTTCAGTATCTTTTCACCCTCTCCTCCAGGTATTTCCATCTCTCGACTACACAGAGTTGACATTGCATGAAGGATTATGTTAATTGCTGCAGACTCCTATGCACATCCCATCCCTTGCATTTTGTGGCATTTCCTCTTGCAAGGAAGGTGTGACAATGTCAGCCTCTCTGATCATTGCCAGTGAATCATTTAAATAGGGAGCTACATGTGTCAGTGCTGCCAAATCCTCAGCAGGCTTACAGGTATCCCACAGATGCCTTCACCCACCTCCAACACTCTCCTTTCACCAGGACCCCTCCCTTGACCTGTTACCTGCACTTGAAACGTTCATGAGAACTGTTAATTTTTCAATGACTCCTTACCAATTTGAACCTATTTCCCTCTGACTTGACTAAACTCCATGCTGTCAGATCCCAATCCTGACTTTGTCACCAAGCATGCTGATGCGATAGTACTGTTGTTTGGCGTACTGACCTCTACATTGGGAAGGCTGAGCACCAGGTGTCGGACACTTGTTCTGTCTCCCCCAGGACCGTGACCCCACCATCAAGTATCAGGCCATTGTATCCCACAATTGTCACCAATGTCATCCCAAATGGGGATCTCCCTGTGACAACCTCCTGGTGACTAGTCCCCCAGCTCACTTCACCATTCTCCCCAAAATCCACAAACTGGACTGCCTGTGCAGACCCATTGTCTCTGCTTGTTCCTGCCCCATCGAACTTATTCCTTCCTACCTCAAATCTAATTTTTGTTCTCTTGTCCAGTTTCTCCCCACTTACATCCATGATTCTCCTGACGCTTTATGCCGATTTTCAAAATTTCCAGTTCCTTGCCCCCTCTTCACCATAGACATGTAATCCCTTTTACATGTCCATCTCTGTCAAGATGGTCTTAGAACCCTCCATTTCTTCTTGGAAAGAAGACTTGAACCATTCCCATCCACAACTATCCCCCTGCACCTAGCTGACTTTGTCCTCACTTTGAACAACTTCTCTCTTAATTCCTGTCACTTTCCTTAGGTGAAAGATGTGGCCATGGGCCCCAGTCATGTCTGTCTATCTATGGGGTCTCTTTTTGTGCTCATTGACTTTGGACCGTATGAAATCGCCTGGCATTGATCAAATATGTGCAAGGAAACTTGATTAAAATGTTACCCCCACCCTTCCCCAGCTGATGAATTCTCTGTTGAACACTTTGATGAAGTACTGAGGGTGCCAAGAATGCCGAATATGCTCTGGGCGGGAAAATGCTAAACTGAATACATATTTCAGATTCCGGCAGCCTCAGCAGTTTGCTCTCATTGGATTTTAAGATAGAGCTAAAATTCTCCAATTCTAAATAAATTTGTGTGCCTTTAGTCTTTCTATTATCTTTTACAAGGAATTTCTTGTTTTTCCAGAATGAGATGAGAAGAGAAAACTCTTGCTCGCCTCATTTTTCGTCAGGCCGTGCAGAATTTCCATTTGTTGCTGGCACAGTAAGTTTCAGAATGTGAGGTTTTAGGTCAATCTGTTCTAGTTATAGGGAGCTGACAATGAAGCTTTAAATTATTTCAAGCACTCGTTATCACACTCCGTCGAACATGATGTGAAGTAATCTATATGGTACTGTACCCAGTTGTAAGAATGGGTTTTCTGCCTATTATGTCCTACTACAGTCCATTTTCTACGAACGTATATGAAATGCAGAAGAAATGACAATTGTTTACCCACAAGGGAGTAGATAATTTGGATTGGATTTTGTATATCTAGCTGAGAGATAATGGAGGAGTCTTACAAGTTGGATGCACAAGTTCTTTGCTCAAGTTGTAAAGAAACCGAAAGACTTTAAAAGAAGAAAGTAAGGAATTTAAGGTTTTTTTTTAGGAGATTTGGTTACTGACCAATGATATGGCAACTGTCTCTCAAATATTCAGAGTATAGGAATTGAACCTATTTTCTCTATGATGCACCAAATCCTCGTTAACTATGGGGAATAGGGGCATGGACTTCCTGTGAATTCTTAAAAAAACTGGATTACGCTCCAGTGTAACTCTCCTATATACCATGAAGGGTCATGTGATTACACTGGACAAGTCAAATGGGAAAACATTGGAGTCTGGGCTAACCTCATGAGTGCACAGATCAGTGGATAGAAGAGTGAGTGCTTTGCATGTTACAATGGTAAATTATGAAAGCCTTTTTCTTTAACCCCCTTCTTTTAAGATTATGCCATTAAGTAATTTTACCCAAGTTAACAACACAATTAAATGGATAGTAATGTCAGCTAAGACTGCAGTACATGTCCCACATTGACGTTAAAGCTATTCTGCATTTGGAGTCAATGTGGTCATTAAAGTCTTATACAGCTTATCAAAATGTGTTCAGTTCTGTGGAAGCTAAATGTATTGAGATCCTGGTGTGAAGAAAATTACTTTTTTTTAAAATACGTTCTTAAATTGTGCTGTTTTTGTGTTCAAGTCCATTAGTTCCAGTCATTCTGTCACAGCAAATGTACAAAATGTTTTCCATCTGATGAAGCACTATAACAAAATGACGTTTGATGGAAGACAGAAACTTCCTGTTCAGAGGACACTTAAGAATCTACAAAAAGTAACTTGTGATACTGGCAGAGTGAAGAAAAGGGATCTCCAGTTTGTATCCTGTCCCTCATCCTCTTCACCAACTGAGCTTTCTGAACTTCTTTTAGCGTTGCAAGATGAGCTGGGCCAAATGAGCTTGTAAGTATAGAAATACAATTCTAGTCTGCACATCAAATTACAGGACTCGGGGAGGTTGGGGATGGGTCTGGAGATCTCCAACTCCACCTTAAATTGGTTCAACGCTATGTGTCTTTATTGCCCCCTAGATGATTATTTCCTTACATAGACCAGCTTTATGATTGAGTTTAAGCTGTTTCTTTTCTCTTCTAATTTTGAATTTATGCACCCTTATTCTAGAATTTTTGATAATCTTGAAACATCTGTGTTAAATTTATTAAGTGAAGGACCTTTTACAGGTATCTATTGTTCAAGCACATTCTAATAGTGCATTTTTTTGTTTCAGATGGGCTTTGAATTCAAGGTATTTACTCATAGGGGTGCATCTGTCTTTGTTTCAATATGATTTCTGAACATGCAGTATGATAGCTTATAACTGTGCTTGCACTTAGTCTATTTTTGTAAACATATTCTAGTTCATTTTCTTCCCATGTTGGAGGGTGACAGCCCTTGAATCAAGGCCATATTTGACAGAGTGTGAATCAAGGAGCCCTAGCAAAACTGGAATCAATGGAAATTAGGTGGCAAATTCTCTGCTGGCTGGAATTGTACCTGGCATGTAGGAAAAAAGTTGTGATTGTTGCAGGTCAGTCATCCTGGCTTCAAGACCTCTCTGCAGGAGTTCCTCGGGTTGCTATCCAAGGCCCAATTATCTTCAACTGCTTCATCAATGACCTCCCCTCCACCATAAAGTTAGAAATGGAGATTTTCACTGCCCAATGGTCAGCACCATTCATGACACCTCGCATACTGAAGCAGTCCATGTTCAAATGCAGCAAGATCTGGACAGTATCCAGGCTTCGGCTAACAAGTGGCAAGTAACATTCGTGCCGGATACATGCCAGGCGAAGACCATTCCCAAAAAGACACAATCTAACCACTGTCCCTTAACATTCAATGGTGTTACCATCACTGAATCCCTCGCTATCAATATTCTTGGGATTACCATTGACCAAAAAGTGAACTGGATTGTCCATATAAATACAGTGGCTACAAGAGCAGGTCAGAGGCTAGGAATACTGTGGTAAGTAACTCGCCTCTTGACTCCCCAAGCCCTGTCCATCATGTACAAGGCACAAGTCAGGAGTGTGATGGAATACTGCCCGCTTGCTTGGGTGAGTACAGCTCCAACAACACTCAAGAAGCTTGACACATCCAGGACAAAGTAGCCCGCTTGATTGGCACCACATCCAATAGCATCCACCACCAATGCTTAGTAGCATGGGTATGTACCATCTACTAGGAATTTACCAAAGATCCTTAGACAGCACCTTCCATACTCTCAACCTCTTCCATCTAAAAGGATGAGAGCAGCAGAAAAATGGGAACACTACCACCTGCAAGTTCCCCTCCAGGCCAGTCACCATCCTGACTTGGAAACATATCGCTGTTTCCTCAGTGTTGCTAGGTCAAAATCCTGGAATTTCCAGTCCACCTGCATATTGAAGTCAGCCATGATTATTATAATAGTGCCTTTCTTACGTGCATTTTAAATCTCCTGATTTATTTTCTTCTCCACATCCTGACTTCTGCTAGGAGGCCTGTACATAACTCCCATCAGGGTCTTTTTACCTCTGCAGTTCCTCAAATCTACTCCTGCTTTCTACACCTTCAACTCTATGTCACTTCTTGCTGTTGATTTAATTTCATTTCTTACTAGCAAGCCAATCCTGCCTCCTTTGCCTATCTGCTTGACCTATCGGTAGCACGTGCATCCTTGGATATTTAGATCTCAGCCCTGATCCCCTTGCAGCCATGTCTCTTTGATACCCGCAATATTGTACCCTCCAATTTTAATCTGCGCTATAAGCTCACGTACCTTGTTTTGTATACTGCACGCATTTAAGTGCAGCACCCTCAATTCTGTGTTGACTGCCCACCCCTTCTCATAGTTGTCCTCTTCTCTAAAGATGAACTCCTGAGCCTTTCCTGTCCTAATACTTGTTCTGGAAACTTTAACCTGTGGTGAGCTCTTCTCCATAAGACGATGAGATATAGCAACAGAATTAGGCCATTCGACCCATCAAGTCTCCTCCGCCATTCAATTGTGGCTAATATGTTTCTGAATTCCATTCTCCTGCCCCTTCCTGTAACCATTGATCCCCTTACCCATCTATCTCTGTCTTAAATACTCTTGATGACTTGGCCTCTAGTCTTCTGCACCAATGAGTTCCGCAGATTCACCGCCTTCTAGCTGAAGAAATTCCTCCCTATGTCCATGCTAAAATGTATTCCCTTCACTCTGAGGATGGGTTCTCGGGTACTGGTCTCTCCTACTAACGGAAACATCTTCTCCATGTTCACTTTATCCAGCCCTCTCAGTATTCTGTAAATTTCAATGATTTCCCCCTTCATCCTTTTAAACTCCATAGAGTACCAACCCAGAGCCCTCAAATGTTCTTCATATGACAAGCCCTGGGATCAGTCTTGTAGATCCCCTCTGGCCCCTTTAACTTTTTCCAGTGACTGATACCAATGTCCCATGAGTTTTGAACCCATTTCTCTCATGCCAATTGTTAAATCACGTATTTTCCCTCTAACCTTGTTGCCCCTATACCAATTAGCTCATGACTCTGGTAGTAATCTAGAGGTTATTACCTTTTTTTTTAGTTCTGCTTTTTAATTTAGCCCCTAGCTGCTCAGATTCCCTCTGCAGAATCTTTATCGTCTTTCAGCCTATGTCATTATTACCTATGTGGATCACAACTGGAACTTTTTCCTCCCATTCCAAATTCCTCTACAGCCCAGATCAGATATCCTGAGCCCAGGCACCAGGCAGACAACACGACCTTTGGTTCTCTCAATCCTGGCTACAGCGAACAGTGTTTATTTCCCTGACTATACTATCCCTGATTACAACTGCGTTTCTTTTTTCTCCCTGCTCCTAAATGGCTCCCTGTGCCATGGTGCTGTGGTCCATTTGCTCATCCTCCCTACAGCCTACTGTCATCCACACAAGGAGCAAGTATCTCCAACCTGTTAGACAAGCTCGAGGGCTGATGCTCCTTCAGCATTACCTCCTGGATGCCTCTCCCTGTCTTGCTCATAGTCACACCCTCCTCTGTCTCTGACCACTGACTGAATTTGAGGTAATTAATCGAAGGACATGACTGCCTCCTGAAACACTGCACCCAGGTAACTCTTCCCCTCCCTGATGTGTCGCTGTGTTCGAAGCTGAGACTCCACCTCATCAACTCTGAGCCAGAGTTCTTTAAGCAACTTGCTACAGGTGTGGTGACTGAATCACAGTGGGGTACACCAGCTCCCACAGCATGTAGTTACAACACTTTGCTTGGCCCTTCATCTCTGTTTTATTTTCTTAGTTCTTAATTTGATTTTTTTTTAAAATTTCCTACTGATCTTTTAGTTTGTAACCTGTAAAGATATTTCCCCTATTGATCCTTTGATTTGAAAGCAATGTATAGTTGATAGTCAAATTAGTAGTTATTATCAACCAATGAACTTAAGGTACGGTTTTCCTGTGATGCTACTCTTTCTTTTGTGCTGGGCCCCCATCTGGGCTTCAGTTTATCCTATAAAAGACCTTACAAACTATGAACCAAAAAACCAAGCAAAAAGCACCTTCTTCACTCTGTACCCAATTCCCTGAACTATATGCTCACTTGAGTTGTGTCTCACTCCAGATGTGATCTCTCCCTTCCTGACTGAGCACAGCTTACTGATGGATTAGAATTCTTTGAGGAGGTAATGTGGCAGGTGTCATATATTCGGATTTTCTATTGTGCTTTGACAAGGTCTGACATAATAATAGGCTTATTCTGTTAGTGCTTGCAGAGGCAGGGGATACTAGCATGGATAGCAAATTGGCTAAAGATTAGAAAGTAGAGTGTAAAAGTAAATTCCTTCAAATTGGAAGGAAATAGAATGCTGAATTTCACAAGCAGGAAGGTTAAGTAACTCAATACCAGAATTTGAAAAAAGATACCAAACTGGAAGGTATGGCTGACACTGAGAAACAATATAACATAATAGAAGAAGACATTAGAAAACTTGCAAACCAGGGCCGTTTAGTGGTAAATAAACGTAAGCTGGTGCACTTGGAAGAAAAAATAGAAATACGACTTGGACCTTAGAAAATATGGAACCAAATGGGAATGGAAAAAAAGTGAACAAGTCTTTAAAAGCATAATCAGCAAAGAAATATAAATGCTAACAATATGCTGTTTCTAGGGGTGTAGAACTCGGAAGTTGTGAAATTATGGTGTAGGTCCTGTGGTTAGGCTGTATTTAAAACACTCAATTCAATTCTGACCTCAGTACCATCAAAAGGAATGTAAAAGCACTGTAGGAAATGCAAATTTACTCTGCAAGAATGGTTTCAGATTGGAGATCATGGCAATCAGAAAAGATTTAACAAACTGGACATTTTCTCCTTGGAAAGTATGAATGATGAGCCGGGATAAAAATGGAGAAATTGTTTCCATGATTTAAGATTCTACTCATCTAGATCCAAAACAAGGTCTGTAAATGCAAGATGATGACTAAAAATACAATAGAAAAATAAGGAGAAATGTCTTTCCGGAGCTGGGAGTTCAAACGTGGAAACTACTTCAGGAGCATGTGCTGAAGCACAAAGGGAATAGAAAGATATGTTGGGAATCTGATACAAGTCAGTGATTTGCAAGGAATATCCTATTGAGGATTTGCTTTGTCTATGTAGTTAGAACTGAATATTTGTCAATCTGCAGAGGTTTAATTTACAACTGGGCAGTGCCAAATGTCATGCTTAAAATTTTAAGAGCTCCTGTCCTTATCTACTTGCAGCAATTCCATCAGATCATCAGATTCCATAACATCCAGCCCCACCACATCAAAACATTTCAATCTCGCCACTGTCTCTGATTTGGATCAATGGTTATCTGACATTCTGTACTGGATGTGCAGACATTATTCAAGTAAATATTGGGAAAACTGAAGCCCATTGGCCTCGATCATCCAAACAATGGCAATGTGTACAAAGATTTTCCCCGAATTTATGTCCTCATGTGTTCCTTCTGGGGTTATTTGACACAGGCTTGCATTAAAATGCACGACGCCCCTCAGGGAACTCTGGAGCAGAGTAGTTGGGAAGACACCACATGTCCTTGTACAGCACTAGCTGCTGTATAGTGTTTCAAAGTTCAGTGTTAACGTTAGTGAATGGATGAATGAGTGACGAAATGGATTGGCTCGGTTGTGAGTGAGTTGGTTAGGTCGGTTAAATGACTGGGTGAAGTAGGTGAATGAGGGGGTTGTGGGTTATACAGAGTAGTCATGTTGCAGGATAGTTGGTCTGGTTGGTAGGGTGATAGATGGGGGATTGAAAATGGAAGTCTCATCAGGGAGGGAGTTTGGTTGAGTGGACATTGGGTAGGTGGGTCAGGAGATTCTGGAGGGCTGTTAGGAGTGGGGGCACAGGGCATTGTAGTCAGGGGTTAGGGGGCAGTTAAGTTATGGTTTTGTGGTGGTGGGTTAACAGTTGTCGATAGGCATGTGTTAGACTAGGTTTTAATCAAACATTTCCTGGCTAAGTATGTAGGCAAGTATCGCGGATCTATCTGAAATGTCCAAATTCAGACGTTCATAGAATGAGCCGGGAGATTGCCTATCAAACGTGTAAACTTCCATGACAATCCCCATATAGATCTGTATGGCAGAATTTCCACAGGAAATTTCCACACACACTTTCACTTGCCTGTCTGGTTTCTGGCAGTCTAGAGACTGAAAGATTTGGCCTGTTTGTCCCCGCCTCAACTGTGTTCTCTAAAATAACCAACTCCTATTCTAATATCTCTGTATATGACCATGTGCCACATTTTTTTTGGTCATGCTCCTGTGAAGTATCTTGGGAAATTTCACTGTTAATGGTGTTATTTAAATGCGCTTTCATTATTATTATTTCTAAAGTAGAAGAAGGGTTTTGCTGGCTTAATAAGGTGGAAATCAAACCAATTTTTGTGAAGATTGAATTCATGTGGATAACTAATTTTGCAAGTAACTTCATTTTTGTAAATATTACCAAATTCTGTATTCCCAGTGAGCATCAAGACCTGCTAAAACAAATACAAGGTACCAAAAATATTGATGTCCGTGAAGATTTAGAACGTGAACTTGAGTGTCTGGTAAAACGGATGGAGAAGAAAGGGGATCAAATTTCTAAACTCAAAAAGCACCAGGGCGATGTAAGTGTCTAATTTTAAACCAGGATTTTTTGTATTCTCAAGTGACATACAATAATCTTGGTTGAATGGTACAGATGCCAGTTACGTTACAGCTACATGTGCTTTATGACGTGAACTGAAACCCTTTGATTCCCAGCACTATGTTGAAATCATGACAAAGCTGTTTAATTTTTTAAAATTACAAAGAGTAACATCTGTGGAGCTACGTTATTAATTCTGTCCTCCAGCAGCTGCTGAGAACAGCAATAGAGGTCTATTTTATTCAATGATTGATGTCAACAGAAAGATTTGGCCTGTTTGTCCCCGCCTCAACTGTGTTCTCTAAAATAACCAACTCTATTCTAATATCTCTGTATATGGCCATGTGCCACATTTTTCTTTAACCTGAACAAGAGATTCCTAACAATCTCTAATACTTTTCATAGAATCTCTACAGTGTGGAAACAGGCTCTTCGGCCCAATAAGTCCACACTGACCCTCACCCTATAACACACCTAATCTACACAACCCTGAACACTATGGGCAATTTAGCATGGCCAATCCACCTAGGCTGCACATCTTTGGACTGTGGGAGGAAACAGGAGCACCTGGAGGAAGCCCACGCAGATACAGGGACAATGTGCAAACTCCACACAGAGAGTCACCCGGCGGTGGAATCGAACCCAGGTGCCTGGCACTGTGAGGCAGCAGTGCTAGCCACTGTTCTGCCCCACATATTTTAATAAATGTTTCATCTCCTGTATTTCCATGAAATGGGGTAAATATTGCCCCACTCCCTTTGGTAAACACTTGTCGGAATTGGTTTTTGATGTCCACGGAGTGAATCATGCTGATTGGACTCAAATGGCTCATTGATTAACATTTGCTAAACAACCTTGGAAAAACTAACAAAACTCACCCACTAACACCTCCAACTAATAAAATCAATCATTTGGTTTGGTTTACCTTGGTCCATATCCTTATACCTTTGGTAGCAAAAAATTAAATCAAATTTGAAATTATCAATTGAGTTGAGCATCTACTGCCTTTTGGTGGTTGAGAGTTCCACCCTTGTATCACCTTTACGTGAATAAGTATTTCTTAACTTCTCCTCTGACAGACCGGTTCTGATTTTAACGTTATGCCCACCTGTGCTAAACTGTTCCAACAATGAGAAGTTTGACTATCCCCTTTTCAAAAAAAAACTTTTCTAAAACTCAAAGAATGTTTTCAGCTAATGTTTAAAAATTCCAATAATATTTGGACTAGAGATTACCACATCTTTATAGCTTTTTCAGAGATTAACTTTGCTCTACTTGAACTGTACCAGTAGTACAAAATTACTTTGCGAATTTCATCTTCATTACTGATGTTCAGCCTAAAGCAGCTGACAATATTCAGTATTTACCGTTTTAAAATTTTATATCTTTGGTTTCATCTGCTTTTGTAGGAATCAGGACTAATTTTATAAAAATTCCAATAAAAACTTTCATTTATGAGAGAACTTTAATTACAACAGCTACTTTCATTTCTATAGAACTTTTGACATCTTAAATATTCCAAGGATCTTTTACAACACCTGCATTGTTAGCAGTTGCTTTAAATCCATTGTAACCATGATGATAGTGTGACCCCAAGAAGGCAAATAAAAAGCATTGATTCATTCAAAATTCAAATGTAAAATACCACTATGATTTAGTTTCTGTTTATTCAGTTTACCTATGGTAAGGACATTAAAGTCAAATTATCACATGCATCCAATTTCTTGCAGCTCAAGGAGCTAATCCAACTTTTTTATTTTGTCTGATTTTGGTTTTATTTCTGGAAGAGGGGATATGGAAAAACCCCTAGTAAATGGTGTAAGAAAGTAGAGAGAGGATATATTTATATTTATTGTACCTTTCACCTTTGGTGTTCCAAAGGGCTTTGCTGCTTTTGAAGAACATAGTTAGTACTTGGTGGACAAACACTGCTGCCTAATTATTTACAGCAGTATACGAGAAACTACAATGAGACAAATTCAGTTGAGCTGTGTTACTGGCGTTAGTTGAGAAATGAATACTGACCAGAACAGCTTTCAAATAGTACCAGTGAATCTTATGCCCATTTCTGTATTTGGAGCTTGGCTTAAAATCTCATTTGAATGACAGCATAGCTGACTGTACAGCACTTCCTCAGATTTATATTTAAATGTCTGCCTACTTTATATGCTCTTGAACGCTCACTTTTCTGAACTAGACTACGGTACAACCACTGAGCTAAAATTATAACAGGAGGTTAAAAAAAATTGAGACTTCCATTTGCAACACAATATAATTAAGAGCAATCATATGACTCCTTTAGATACATCAGAAATGTTTTCTTTTCTTTCTTTCTTCATTCATTAATGAGATGAGGACATTGCTGGCTAGGCAGCGTTTATTGTCCATTCCTAATTGCCCAGATGACAGTTGAGAGTCAGCAACATTGCTGTGGGTCTGGAGTTACGTGTAGGCCAGACCAGGTAAGGTTGACAGTTTTCTTCCCTAAGGGACATTAGTGAACCAGGTAGGTTTTTCCAACAATCGGCAATGGATTCACGGTCATCACTAGATTCTTGATTCCAGATGTTTTATTGAATTCAAATTCCACCATCTGCCGTGGCGGGATTTGAACCCAGGACCACAGAATGTTACCCGAGTCTCTGAATTAACAGTCTAGCCATACTACCGCTAGGCCATTGCCGCCCTGTATTTCACTATTTTGTTTCTCTACCTTTCAAAATGCAGAAATGGGGAGAATCATTCATGGTGAGGGTAAAAGGTGCCAAGTCTTACCAGACCATAGGGCTCACGAGAGAGAGACACCACCAGTGTTGGTTTAACCTGAGGGTCACCGTGCATCAGTCGACGGGAGAGGTTGAGAAGGAGAGTTCTTCATGGTAAACCCAACTGGTGCAGGAATTTAATCCAAATTGTTGGCAACACTTGTAATGCAAACAGGCTGTCCAACCAACTGAATTAACTGACCTCCTAACGGAATTCATTCACTGCTGAAACCCAGGGTTGTGTAGAGAGATGTTAACTGGCAGCTGGAAACTTTTACTGAAAAACTAAAACTCATCTTGCCTGAGAAATGATTTAACTTCTGTCTGTACATGTGGTAAATCTGACTTAATCCTTCCATGTTAAAATATAGGCATTGGAGGAAGTGGTTATATTTTTATAATCCAGTAAATAGAGTTCAGATTCCACGCTATAGTTTTGGAACTTGATTTCAGTTTTTAAATCTTACAATAAAAAGCTGAAATCAAAATGACCTTGAATGGGTCACATTGATATAAAAATAGATTTGATAACTAATTATCATTTTAGGGAAGGAAACCTGCTCTCCTTTGAGATCTCAGTCTAGACAATGCGGCTCCAGTCCCACATCAATAAGGTTGCCTCATAATTGACCTTTTGAAGTAACAGAGCAAGTCGCACCTCCAGAAGATCACGACCATCACCATTTTGGTGAATAGGGATGGGCAATAATTGTCAGTCTTGCCGGTTAAGCCCACATCCTGAGAAAGTAAGTTACATTGGTTTTAACAAATAGCAGCCAGTTAGAAGACTATTCAACATGGAAACTGGAATTGGACATTGTTTGGTCTCAGTTACATTATACATCTAAGATGCTAGAAAGCCACAACCCATTTGCAGCATTTAATATATGTAGCATAAGATTGCTTTGTATTTCATTAATTTTTAGACATAATCTTTAAGGGATGCTGGCTACTAATCTTGTCAGTTTTTAAATTAGTATTCATTCAGGTTCTACACTAATAGTAAATCTCTGATTAAACTTTCCACGCACAGATATTTAGTTTAAAAACTATTACCAAACAATTTAATTTTACCCTTTTTAGGTTGAGAAATTGAAGGTAAAAGCAAAAAAAATTATGAGGGAGATGTCTGATACTAAAAAACGAACAAAAGCTTTGGATGAAGTGAAGGAAGTGCCAGTTACACCCAAGGGAACAGAATTTTCAGTCAAAACAACTTGTGCTGCTGCCCAGAAAGGAAAAGAAAGTCTTCAGCTGCTTAGGAATGCACAGAAACTGCAGCTCTCTCTGAGGCAAAATGACATCACATGGGAACAGTGATCACTGTGGTTCAGAAGGCAATGTCTGTAAATTTGACTCTGAATTTAATTACTAAATTACTGTAGAGTAACTTAATGAATCAACACATTTTAATTGTGTTTTAATGTGATGCTTGTTGCTTTGAAACTGACTTGAGGCATTGCTGATAATCACATGGGGTAATGTACTTGAATTTTAACATTGTTTTCTTAATTCATATTTTTCACCTATTGAAATAATTTACAATGTGCATTTGGTGCAGCAACGTCCTTGTTGGGAGATAAATTGAGATTGTCACTAACCTTTGTACGTGTATGATTTACTTTTGTATCCAAATTAATAAAACCTCTTGGTCACTTATTGTGTCCTGCCTTCACTATCTGCCTATGTACTCTTATTTTGTTACCATACTCTCTCTTGCACTATGTATAAATCGGGTGGAGGACTTGCTCAATTACTTCAAAGGTCAGTTAATAGTCAACCATGTTGGTTGTCTACAGTCCTTAAGAAAAAGTGTCTGTTTATGATGCTTTTAACTGAGTTAAGTTTTATTAGTAGCTAGGTACAGCTGACAAAAGAATGCTCCTTATCACTAGGTCTTCGGCCCATCATTAAGGAAATGTTTATTTAGTGTCAGTAAATTAAATTTGACTTGGGTTAAAATCTGGTTTGGGTGACCTTGCATGTCTCATAGTTAGTAGATAGAGCATTTAGTCCAACATGGCTTACTGGTAGTATACTAGTATCAGAAGGTCCTGGATTAAGTTTCAATTTAGTGTAACTTTACCCAGAGTTGTACAGGGATATTTGTGTTTAGGCTGCTACCTTTTTTGAAAAAATGTTAAACTTAAGAAACCCAGAAAATAAGAGTAAGTCATTTGGCCCATCAAATCTGCTCTGCCACTTAATATGATTGTGGCTGAGCCACTGTCACCTGGCCTCTACAGCCTTATGTGGTGGAGAATTCCATAGGGTCACCGTTCTCTGAGTAAGAACATAATAAGAACATAGATTAATTTAAAGAAATTTCTCCTTCTCTCGGTCTCGGGACATACTTAAGACTGTGCCTCCTTGTTCTGGACCCTCTGGTTGGGGGAAACATAATCCCTGCAACGGTTCTGTTGAGCCCTGTCAATGTTATTTTCAAAGTGATACCCTCTCATTCTTCTAAACTGCAGTGAATACAGGCCTAGTCAAATTAATCAATCCTCATCCGACCTGACATCCCAGGAATCAGTCCAGTGAACATTTGCTGCACTCCCTCTGTGGCCAATATATTCTTTTAGGTAAGGAGGCTAAAACAGCACAGAAGACTCCAGGTATATCCCTAAGGCCTCCGTATAGCTGCAGCTTCCTTGCTACTGTAATTGAGCCTACATGTAATGAAGGCCAATGTACCATCTGCCTTTGTAATTGTGTGCTAGGATGAGCGACCAATGTACGAGACACCCCGGTCCCTTTTGCCTATCAAAATTTCTCAATTTAAATAATACTCTGCTATTTTGTTTTTCCTTCCAAACTGGATAGATTCACACTCATTCGCTATTCTACCATGTACTTACTCATCTACTCAACTTGTCTAAATCATCTTGAAGTCTTTCTGCATCCTCTTCAACTCTCAGTCCTACCTAGATTTGTGTCATCAGCAAACTTGGAAATGTTAATTGATTTTCTCATCCAAATCATTGATACGTATTGTGAATATCAGTGCCCCATTAGTCACCACTTTCCACTGCAAAAAAAGAGCCCATTTATTCCTCTTTTGTTTGTCATCTGTCAACCACTCTTAGTCCAAGCCAATATATTATCCCTAATGTCATGTGTGTTCATTTTGCCTCAAGTGGGACTTTATCTAAAGCTTCCTGGAACTCCAAATGCATTACACACAGTGGTTCTTCCTTACCTATTCTACTTGTTATGTCCTCAGAAACATCTAGTAGGTTTGTAAAACCTGATGTTCCTTTCAAAAATCAGTGCTGACTTTGAAAACATCAACCGGATTAGACAAAGTTATCACTTCTTTTAAAACAGATTCTAGCATTTTCCCTACTACTGATGTAAGCTAACTGTCTGTAAGACCATAAGGAATAGGATTAGGTGTAAGCTGTTCAGCTACTGAAGCCTGCTTTGCCATTGAATAGGATTGTTGCTGATCAAACACTCCTCATGTCCAGTTTCCTGTGTAGTCCTCGATTCCTCTTGATCAAGAGCCTATGTATCTCAGTCTTCAATGTACACGAGGACTCTGCTGTCACAGCTGTTTGTGGGATGGAGTTCCAAAGAGAGACAACCCACTGAAAGAAAAAATTCTCCTTGTCTCACTCTTAAACTGACAGCCTGTTATTCTGAGACTATGCCTTGTGGTCCTCGGTTCTCCCACGATGGGAAACATTCCCTCAGAATTTACCCTGTCAAGCCCCTTAAGGATCTTATATATTTCAATGAGATCACCTCTCATTCTTCTAGATTCCAGTGTGTAGTGTACCAACCTGTTTAGCCTTTGCTCATAGGACAAGTGCTCCATTTGAGGGATCATTCTAGTAAAACTACTCTGAACTGCCTCAGATGACATGCTATCTTTCTTTAAATAAGGGTGCCAAAACTGCTCACAGGTCTCACCAGCACCTTGTACAGTTGCAGTAAGACTTCCCCATTCTTAAACTTAAATGCCCTATAAGGGCCAACATTTTATTAGCATTCCTGATTACCTGCTGCATCTGTGTTTCATGTACAAGTACTCCAAGTTGTTTTGTGTTGCTGCCTTCTGTAGCTTTCCTCTAAATAATATTGTGCTCTTTTGTTCTCCCAAAATGAGCAGCTTCACATTTTTTTCTTCATTCGTTAACAGGATGAGGACGTCGCTGGCTAGGCAGCATTTATTGTCCATCCCTAATTGCCCAGAGGGCAGTTTAGAGTTAATCACATTGCTGTGGGTCTGGAGTCACATGTAGCCCAGACCAGGTAAGGTTGGCAGTTTCCTTCCCTAAAGGACATTAGTGAACCAGATGGGTTAGTGAACCAGATGGGTTTTTCCCACATTATATTCCATTTGCCAACTTTTTGCCCACTTACTTAAAGACTGTAATTTCTTGTTTTCTCCCCTTTTTAAGTAGTGGGATTAAATTTCCACCCTCCAATCTGGTCTGTTCCAGAATCTACAGAAGTTTGGAAGATGACCGCCAAAATGTCTACAATTTCCATGGCTTCCAATTTTAGTACCCAGGGATGCAGGTTATCAGGCCATGGGGGTTTATCGGCTTTCAAACCCATTTATTTCTCTGGAGCAATTTTGCTAATACTAATGAATTTCATTTCCTCCTTCTCAATAGAATGTTGGATACCTAGCATTTCTGAATCACCCACTATCAATGTCCTGGGAGTCACCACTGACCAGAAGCTGTTTTAGGCCAGCCATATAATACTGTGACTGCAAGAGCAGACTAGAGGCCAAGAATCTTGTGATGACTAACTCACCCCTTGTTTCCCTATTGCCTCATCACCATCTATCAGGCAGAATTCAGGTGTGTGATGAAATACTATCCATATGCCTGAATGATTGCAATTCCCAACAACATGCAAGAAGCTTGACACCATCCAGGGCAAAGCAGCCTGCTTGAATGGCATACCATCCAACACCGTCAACATTCATTCCCTTCATCAACAATGCATAGTGACAGCAGTGTTTACTATCTATAAGATGTACTGCACCAATTCATCTTCCAAACCTGTAACCTCTACCTTCTGGAAAGGTGAGTATCAGGTGCTTGGGAACACCATCACCTGTACATTCCCCTACACGCCTCATACCATCCTAACCTGGAATTTTATCTGTGTAACGTCACTGTTGCTGGGTCACAATCATGAGACACTCTTCCTACCAGCGCTGTGGGTATCCCTACATTCCAAGAACTGCTTAAGTTCAAGTATGGTGACTAGCTACCACCTTCTCCAGGGCAATTGGTGATGGGTACTAATTGATGCCCACATTTAATGAATTAATAAAATAAAACAAAAGTTATTTGTTTCTTCTTCTAATAAGTTACGCTAACACGAGGCCACCGCCTCCCCCATTACTGTTTCCAAAAGTTTCTCCACCACCGAATTGAAACTGATTGGTGTGTAATTGCTGACAGTATCTTTACAGTCTTTTTCGAACAGGGGCGTAATGTTTGCAATTCTATCGTCCTCCAGCAACACCCCGAAATCAGGAAAGATTGAAAGAAAATTTGCTAAGCTCACTGCAATTTTCACTCTCACCTTCTTCAATACGTTTGGAAACGTCTGATCTGGTGCTGGTGTATAAACAACTTCAAGAATTCTAAAGGGAGAGAGTTCCAGGATTTTGACCCAGTGACACAGGAAGAACAGTGATATATTTCCATGTCAGGATGGTGAGTGGCTTGCACAGAAATTTGTACATCGAGATACTCCCCTGTGTATAGAATCGTAGAATTCCTACAGTGTGGAAGCAGGCCATTCAGCCCATCGAATCTAAAACCACCCCTCTGAAGAGCATTCCACCCACACCATTATCCTATCCCTGTAACTTTGCATTTCCCATGGCTAATCCGTCTAGCCTGCACATCTTTGAACTGTGGGGGGAAACCCACACAGACAGTTATCCAAGGCTGAGCCACCATGCCGTGCCATGTGTTTGCTGCCATTGTCTTTGTAGTTGGTAAAGGTCATGAGCTTGGAAGGTGCTGGCTAAGGAGCCTTGGTGAACTTATACGATGCATCTTGTAAATGGTACACTACTTCTACTGAGCATTGGTGGTGGAGAGAGTGAATATTTGCAGATATGGTGCCAGTCAAATGGACTGCTTTTTCCCAGATCATGTCAAATTTCTTGAGGAGTTTAGGGAGTTAGAATCATAGAGTCATATAACACAGAAACAGACCCTTCGACTCAACTCGTCCATGCTGACCAAGTTTCCTAAGCTGAACTGGTCCCATTTGCCTGCATTTGGCCCATATTCGTCTAAACCTTTCCTATCCACATACATGTCTAAATGTCTTTTGAGTGTTGTAATTGTAGTCTCCTCTATTACTTCCTCTGACAACTTGTTCCATATATGCACCACCCTCTGTGTGAAAACATTGCCTCCCAGGACCCTTTTAAATCTTTCCCTTCTCACGTTAAACCTATGCTGTCTAGTTTTGGGCTTCTACAGCCTGGGGAAAAGACCTTGGCTAATCACCTAATCTATGTCCCTTATGGTTTTATAAACCTCTATGAGGTCACCCCTCAGCCTCCTACGCACACAGCCTATCCAGCCTCTCGTTATAACTCAAACCCTCCAGTCTTGTTAACATGCTTAAAATCTATTTTGCACCCTTTTCAGTTTAATGACATCCTTTCTATAACAGGGTGACC